TTGATGATACTCTGATTCAAAGAGCACATTTCCAGTAAAACATAATATGTCGTTTAGTCTTATCAGATCTAAAAAATCAGGTTTATGAGACTACAGAGGGCATTTCTGCCTTGTGTTGAGGTTACAGTAACAGGTGTTTACGTGCCTATCCTGAGGTCCAGCTCCTGCCTGACGTCGACGGCATCGCTGGTTTTTTGGTCGGGCTGGGTGAGGTTCTCACAGGCTGATCTGACAGCATGAAGTGTGATCTCAGAGAACCGGGCTCGGAAAACCTGGAGGTTTGGCTTTACTGCCAGATAGACACAGAAGAGAAATCAGAGTGATTCAAACACCAATGGAAAGGAGCATTTGAGAGAGTGTGCTGTCAACTGATTCTACAGCTTTCCAACAGCTGCATGCATTTCTGATTCCATCACAGCCACATATTTATTAGAATTAGCCAGCATTTAACCTGCACACAATAAAATTGAGAATTTGCCTCTGCTAAAGAAGTTGTTAAACCATTAATGGAACTCAGTCTGATGAAGATGCTCTACACACCAGCTTTGCACACGTGGATGATCTCAAAGCCAATGTTCTCTCCCTCTCGATCACAGTCAGTCCAGATCACCAGGGCTTGGCACTGCTGGATTTCTCGTTCAAGGGTTCTCTGAGAGGAGAAAAACAACACAGGGAGAACATTCCAGGCCACTTGCTCTGTCATTTCATTTCAGGATGACTCACTGAACACGAAATGCAATGTGTATCCATGGAGATGGGTTGTTGCAATAACATTTTGTAATTGTGTGTCTCGGGAGATCAGGCAGCTTTGAAAAGAATTGAGTCATTTATTTACATCTAATTCTGTTAAAAAAATTGGCTTGGAGCAGGTTGTACCACAATCTGTTTTCTAAAAATGTCATTTTCTGTAAAACTGAGACACAATCATCAATTCCACCTTGTTGGAAAAAAACATTTCTATTTTTAGCTGTTCTTTCACTGGACTACTTGTACATGAACAAGAGTTTCAGTGCCACAAATGAACAGCATTTATAGTCCTAGGAAAAACAGGAGGAATCTGCTACACTACAGAAATTTGGATGTTAAGGACAAAAGTAAGATCATCCTTCTGTCTGGGACAATATTTGTTGAACCAAGCCCTGAGCTCAGTTTCAAAGTCTTAACCATGATGTACCTTGATATCCAGGTAATTTTCAGGGCAATACTTCTCAATTTCAGCATCAAAAAGAGCTAAAGGGTTGCAGCTATGCCTGGAAAACAGAGGAGAAACATATGTGTGCATCACATAAACTAAAACACCATTTGTGAGACACTAACTGGTGCTAAGTACTGGAATTAATGTATTTTATTACAGGCCTTGTTTCAGACAACAGAGAGTTAACATGAGATGCTGAGTAACATTTAAAAGCAACAGAATGAAAAACCAGCCAGAGAAAACAGCAAATCTGGAAGGCAGCAAGCAGCTTTTTCTATTTGAAGCCCAGAGTACAGAAGGAGGTAAAGCAGAGAAAGCACCTTACTTCCCAGAACAGCTCCTAGCTGAACAAAGAACACAAGACCATCCCATTTTGGAATCAATTTAATTCCCTGTGTCTGCCTTGATGTATTTTAACCAGTATTATGCCTTCAGGGAGTTTTAGCACTCTGAAGACAGCAATTTAAAACGATATTTTGGCTATTTTCTATAAAATTTGAAACTCATCACCCTGCTCTGAGTGAGAGTCTTTCCCTGCCCCGTTGTCTTTGAGCTTGCTGTGTCCCAAGGATGTGTCAAGGAGGTTCTTGCAGTGCCAAGGATGAGAGCAGGAGGTGACAGGCCCCTCCTGTGAGGGGCAGGAGGTGACAGGGGCACGAGGTACGAACCATTTGCGAAATGGCATGATAAAATCATGAGCCAGTAAATGTCCTGACACAGATGTCATCACCATGGTAACTTTCTGCAAGAGATAAAGCAAGGAAATTAGTGCCCATCACTCACTAAAAACTCCCCACAGCCCCAAAATCTCCTTTTAGTTCTCAATTTACATGATTAGTGACACTTTTCTCATGTTAATTCCAGAATGGTTTGGGTTAGGAGGGACATTAAAGCCAAGGGCAGGGACACCTTCCACTGTCCCAGGTTGCTCCAAGCCCCATACAACTTGGCCTTGGACACTTCCAGGGCTGAGGCAATCAAAACTAATTCATCATAACAAGCTCCATCCATGGCCTTATCCTCAATTTGTGTAAGAAGCTCCCAATTCTAAACAGCAACATATTTTTGACTGACATATAACCAGAAAGTGGAAATATTTAGAACAACAAAGCAGGTGGTTAGCCAAGAAAACAACATCTAACTTTTCTTTATCTTTGGGCAGAACATCCCCATGGCTGGAGCTACGTTTTGTAACTCCTGGCTTTTATTAATTAGTATTTGTATTTCATTAATCCAGCAGCAGATTGAGAGAAAACTCTTACCTGGCCAAACATCTGGTAGTCGTATTCATAGATCTTGTTGAACTTGGAAAACCCTTCTCGCTGGAAGGAAAAGGAGAATTCCTGAGTTTCTGGCTTTTAACAGGACACAAATTCTTTTTTTTTTTTTTTAATTCAATTTTTTTAACAGGAAATAAATCCATCCCACCTTGCTTTGTCCAGACTGGGATGGAGCACAAGAGGCACATGGCAAAGGAAAACCAGGTACTGGAGCTAATGGGAATTTCAGCAAGGGGATGGAAATCTCCTGTCTCTTTTCTGGAGACACTGAAATGGTGATTTCCAAGGTAAAAGGATTTTAAACCATTCCTGAAGGTAGTTCCAGGGTTATCTCTCCACAAATAATGAGGAGCTGATTTATTTAATGGGGCTGGCCAGTGCTCAGAAACTCCTGACAAACTCCTATCTTGTTCCAAGTAACAAGGAGTGTCCCCAGGGCTACCTCCCACCTAACTGGGACTCATGGAAGTTTCTAGATTGTATATTTGCTGCTTTTTTTTTACAGAAGCAGGACGAGGTCTTGATTGGAACTGTCAGCACCCAGGTTCTCAATAATACCCTTTATTCAAATAAAGGAGGTTGGAGCTATGTGGAGGTCAGCATCTTTTCCCAGATGACAAGATGAGAGGAAACAGCCTCAGGCTGTGCCAGGGAAGGTTTAGGTTGGACATCAGGAGGAATTTCTTCATGGAAAGGGTTATCAAGCATTGGAAGTGCTCAGGGAAGTGAACACCCTGGACATGTTCAAGGAACAACTGGATGTGGCACTCAGTGCTCTGGTCTGGGTGCCACGGTGGGGATCATAGGTTGGACTTAATAATCTCAGATGTCTTTTTCAACCACAGTGATTCTCTGATTCTGGTCTAGTAGCACCTTAGTTTGGTGATTATGCAAACTGTTACCGGAACAGCAAAGAGTTGAAATATTTGAATTTTTCTTCTCCAAACCACAGCCTGTTTTTGCTTTATTTGGTGACCTCCAGTAAACCCATGACACTTGCTGATGCTGCAGAAGTGGTGTTTTTAGACAGGGAAATGCACAGCAATGGGCGGTATCAATTTCTGAAGCCCTTGCCATACCCTGCTAATCCAGGAATGACCCAGGAAACCCTCACCATGGAGCTCAGTGCCTGGGAAAGGCAGCCTGGACAAGGGGAGCTGAGTTCTCACTGCACTTAAACCACAAGGACCTGAGACTCCCAAATACACTTTGGCCAAAGAGTGTTTGTCCACAGATCGAAGCCATTCTTGTACCCTCGTGCGTTCAGGGACATAAACAGTGCCAAATGTGCCGACATGAAGTGTCCATGCCAAGCTCTGCCGAGAGTGCTGTGGCTGCCACGCACCACACGGACCCTCCCCAGCCAGCTAAGCCAGTCCTGTCTCGGTGCACCAGGGAGCAGCAGCACGATGTGGGTGGGCTGTTCCTACCCGCCTCATCCTGCTGTTGGAGAGCAGCTCAGCGATCCCTCGGGCAGCATCGTTCTTCTCCGCCACGCACAGGACCTTGCGGATCCTGTGCAGCGCCAAATCCTCCGCAGCCCGCGAGAAGAAGCGCCAGGGCTGGGGCAGCATCGTGCCCCTGGTAAAGAGCCGCAAGTAGAGGTTCATCACAGGAGGTGAGGCCGGGCCATGCTGCTGCTCCTCGTCCCGGGGCTGGATCCTGCGGGGATCACCGCGGGAGGCTCAGGGCAGCCCCTCGGTGCCGCAGGGGGATGGAGAAGGCGTCATTTTTCTAAAATTAATGTCTCATCACCCTGCTCCAGATACAGTTGTCGGGGGGGGTCCCTCGGCCCTCTCCTGACCTACTGGGGCTGCCCTCTCGCCACCCCTGATCCTCCCTCAGGCTGTCCCTTACCCGGAGCTGATCCCCCCTTAGGCTGACCCTTCCCCAGGGCAGATCAAACCCTTTGCCACCCCTGATCCTCCCCGGGCTGTCCCTTCCCCAGGGCAGCGCAGCCCCCTCGCCATCCCTGATGCCCCTCGGGCTGTCCCTTCCCCAGGGCAGACCTTTCCCCTTCCTTTCGCCCTTATCCCCCCCACGGTCCCCCCTCACCTCCCAGATCTCCCGCGCTCCGCTGTCGCTCCCCCTCACCGTCACGTCCTGCCGTAAAGCGCAGCCGCGGCGGCGGCAAGGAACTACAACTCCCGAGATGCCCCGCGGCGCCCCAAAGTGTCCCCTCCCTCCGCCGCTCCGCCTCGGTTTTTCCCCCTTTTCCGCTGCCGCTGGGCCCGTCCCGGGATCGGTAACGACAGAAGGCGACGACGGTAAAAATAAACAACTCCAGCTGAGGAAGAGGAGGAGGTGGTGGTGTCGCTTCCTGCCGGCGGGGTCGGAGGCCGTGCGTCATGTGACTCCAAGATGGCTGCGGGGCCGTGAGGAGGCGGCGGCTCCGGCCATGGCGGCGGCGTGAGGGGGACACGGGGCTGCGGCTGCGGCGGGGCCGGGCCGGGGCTGCGCCGGTGCCTCCCGCGGGGCCCGGCGGTGGCGGGGGGACCGGGGGCGCGTCGCTGCTCCATGTCGGTCCCGTCCTGTGGGAAATATGATCAGCGCCCCTGATGTGGTGGCCTTCACCAGGGAGGAGGAGCTGGAGGATGATCTGTACCGCGAGCCGCCTCTGCCCGAGGAGTACTCGGTGCCGCTGTTCCCCTTCGCCGGCCAGGGCGCCAACCCCTGGGCCAAGGTCGCCGGCTCCAAGTTCACCCGGGACTTCATCCTCATCTCCGAGTTCTCGGAGCAAGTGGGGCCCCAGCCCCTCCTGACCATCCCCGATGACGCCAAAGTGTCGGGCACCTTCGATCTCAATTATTTTTCTCTGCGGATCATGTCTGTGGATTACCAGGCATCCTTCGTGGGGCACCCTCCCGGCTCTGCTTACCCGAAGCTGAACTTTGTGGAGGATTCCAAGGTGGTGCTGGGGGACTCCAAGGAAGGGGCCTTTGCCTATGTGCACCACTTGACCTTGTATGACCTGGAAGCCAGGGGCTTTGTGAGGCCCTTCTGCATGGCCTATATTTCTGCTGACGAGCACAAAATCATGCAGCAGTTTCAGGAACTCTCCACCGAGTTCTCCAAAGCCTCCGAATGCCTGAAGACGGGGAACAGGAAAGCTTTTGCCAATGAACTGGAAAAGAAACTGAAAGATCTTGACTACACCAGGACCGTCCTGCACAACGAGACTGAGCAACAGAAGAAAGCCAACGACAAGGGGTATTATACAACCCAGGCCATTGAGAAGGCCAACGAGCTGGCCAGTGTGGAAAAGTCAATCATCGAGCACCAAGACCTGCTGAGGCAAATCCGGTCGTATCCCTACAGGAAGCTGAAGGACTCTGAATTCCACCCCTACGAGCCAGAGTGTGCCCTGGAGCAGGCTAACGTGGGCAGCGATCAGGACCCGGCTGCCTCCGAGCCCGGTGAAACTCACCTTTACACCCATGTGCCATCCTACACCCCCAAACTCATCAAAGCCAAGTCTGCTAAGTGCTTTGACAAGAAGCTGAAGACATTGGAGGAACTCTGTGATGTTTATTTTTTCACCCAGACCCTTGACCAGTTGCACCATATCGAGAGGACTTTTCGAGGTGATGTGTGTTACCTCCTGACAGAGCAGATCAGCCGAGCTCTCCTAAAGCAACAGAGTGTCACCAACTTCCTATTTGAGGATGTGTCTTTTCTGGATGAAAAACCTCCTGAAAAACAGTACAGAGGCTGCCAGGGGCTCGACCAAGATGAAAAGTGCTCAGAAGAGTCCCTGGCTCCTAAAGTGGTCATCAGCCTGGGCTCTTACAAGTCCAGTGTGGAGTGTGTGCCCATCAAGATGGAGCAGGAAATGGAGGATTCTGAAGAACCCAAAATGTCTGAGTCCGTGATGTCTGAGCACCAGGAGAACCTGGACTATCTGGATGCAGATATCAAGGGCAGCATCAGTAGCGGGGAGAGCATCGAGGTGCTGGGAACGGAGAAGTCGGGATCTGGGCTGACGAAATCGGAGAGCCAGGCCAGCCTGCCCGTCATTGCCAGCCCCCAGGCGGGCAGGAGCAAGGTGGGCAGCCGGCGCACGGTCAGCGAGGACAGCATCGAGGTGCTCAGCACGTGTCCCTCCGAGTCCCTCATCCCAGAGGATTTCAAAGCGAGCTACCCAAGTGCCATTAACGAGGAGCCCTACGTGGATGATGATGAAGGAGGCCTTCGCTTCACCCCCAGACTGAACCCAGGCATCGATGACGGGCAGGACGACATCTCCAAGCAGGAAAGCTTAGTGCAGGTGGATGCTGCATGTTGTATCGGGAAGGAGAGCCCCAATTTCCTGGAGCCCCTGGCCGAGCTGGGGCAGAAGCCGTGCGAGGAGGACGGGGTGGTGCGGATCCCCCCTCAGCCCTACCGGCCGGCCGAGCCGGGGCTGCGCGGGGGCTTCCCCTCCCACGACGGCCTCTCGGGGGGGCTCCTGCCCTACGAGCTCGACTCGCGCTACCTGACAGGCCAGGGCAGCAGGGAGGTGAGTAAGAGCAGCCTGGACGAGTACTCGGACTCCACCAGCTACATCAGCAGCGCCGCCTCCACGTGCTCCGACAGGACCCCCTCTCCCGCCCACCTGGGCTGCGCGGCCGGGGACAGGCACAGAAAGAGGGCGGGCCAGAACGCGCTGCGCTTCATCCGCCAGTACCCCTTCGCCCATCCTGCCATCTACTCCCTGCTCAGCGGGAGGACCCTGGTCGTGCTCGGGGAGGACGAGGCCATGGTCAAGAAGCTCGTGACGGCGCTCTCCATCTTCGTGCCCAACTGCGGCGTGTACGCCAAGCCCGTGAAGCACTGGGTCACCTCCGCTCTGCACTTGGTGGATTTCCAGAAGTGGAAGTTGATTGGACTCCAGAGGTAAATGCAAGGATGTGTTTGCTTTAATAGGGTTGAGGTGTGTGGTAAGAACTTCATCTGAGAGGGCAGTGGGTGTGCAGGGGAGGTTTTTTTAATTACGAACACAGCTGCCACCAATTTCTGCTGGTGGGATTTATTTTGGAAAAGGAGTAGACTTGTCTCTTTGTATCCAGCCTTGCTTGAGAGTTAAAGTTTAAAACATCTGCTGGGCACTTGCTGTCTGACTCAGGTGAGTTACTTGGCCAGGAAGTTTTTGCCTGGCAAAGCAGAGAACAAACACCTGAGTCCTGCTGAGTTCCTGGATGATCTGATGCAAGCGTTCCTGGAGTCCCTTGTGTGCTCTGCTTTGCCATCTCCTACTGGAACTCTTCTCACATTTCTAGGTGGAATTTTAGGGTAAATGGTGCTGTGCTGGAGGGGAGAGTTTTTTTCTTGTGGAGCCTATTGAAGAGGTGATGAGATCTGTCGGTCAGAATGGGCATGCAGCACCTCAGTCTGGGCTGTTGAGAAAGAAAGGCCTCTGGAGCTGTGCAGGAGCAGTGTTGGGACTGTAGAAAACCTCTGCTTAGGGTGAGAACTGTCCCAAAAACAAGTGCCCCTTCCCAACACTCAGTCCTGAACTGTGGTTTCACAGCTCACATTAGCAAAGAGTGTTTGCTCAGCTCAAGGGCCCTGCCCTTGTTGATGTTACGAAAAGGATTTTTGGTGTGTTCCAGGATGTGCTCTGGGTGCAGGTATGGCAGGGAATGACCACTTCTGTCACCAGTGTGGAAAACATGCGTCAGAGTGAAAGACTGTGCTCAGAGCCAGGCTGGAACAGCTCCTGCAGGAATGTTTGTAAACAGCAGGAAAATTAAAACCCAGAAACCTGCTTTCTGAGCTGCAGAGCATTGTATTGCTGGGGGATGTGGATGGTGAAATTATCCCGAACTGTGAGTTTGCTCTCATTTCTGTGCTCGTGAGGCAGGATGACAGCTCTGCCAACAGCTGCTCACAAGCTCTCTGTCTGTCAGTGAGGTTTTTAAAATCCCCAAGTGTTTACTCGTTGCTCACTGTTTGTGGTTAGATGCAATTTTTATAAACAGAAATCTTTATTTAAGAGCTGCCTGTAACATGTGTCAGTCATTTCAGCTCTCCTCCGTGGAATGTTAATTAAGTGTTCAGTTTAATGTGGGTGCTCTCCACAAACCATTTGTAGGAGAGCTCTGGGAAGGAATTCAGAGGCTGAGCTATTTATTTCAGTAACGATCCTGTGTTTCCTAAGGCCAGGTGCTGCCTGGGTACAGGGACAGCCCCTACACCAGTTGGGGCTCCAGTTTGAGGCTGGGAGCTGTATCTCTGCCCAGCAACTGTCATCACAGAGAATGGAGGAGCTGAATGGTGTGCGTAGGCTTGTAATTTGCATTTCAATAACATTAGGTTAAGCTTGGTGGGTGATTCTATGGTTGTGAGCCTGCTGTGGGTTTGCACCTGAGTGACAAATAGCCAGGCTCAGCCACCCATAAGGTTAAGGGTGGTTCTATCTTTTAGGAAATTCAGAAGGTTCTGCTCCACTCAGGGGTTTGACCACCTCAGAGCAGCTCCTTCCCAAAGCGATCTGGGGGAATGTGGAGCTCTTGGAAAGCGGGGGTACTGCTTTGGGTTCTGAGTCACATCGAGAGGCTTCCAGCTGCTGTAAGATGTGTCTTTCACCAGAAATGTCCTATCACTCCCTCTCCATGTCACTGAGGGAGGAAGCTGACCTGAAGTGTGGTGGTTTATGCTGTAGCACGCACAGGATGGATCAGGGCATGTAGGCATCCAGGGAATCGAGGTTTCTTTGGGATCTAGCAGGCTGGAGAGTCTATTTGTCCCCCCGTAGGTTTTATTCACCCACAGATCTCTTGCACCAGCTCAACTAGAGGGAAGCTACACGGTATATAGGGCACGGACACACCCTGCTGCTTAATTACGGCTCACCTCCATCCGTGACCTCTCTCTTGCTGTTCCAGGGCAGCGTCCCCTGCCGGGGTGAACGTGCTGCACGCCCTGAGCCGCTACAGCCGCTACCTGAGCATCCTGGACGCCGACAGCAAGACCCTGCGCTGCCCCCTCTACAAGGGCACCGTGGTGGCCCGGCTGGCCGACCACCGCACGCAGATCAAGCGTGGCAGCACCTACTACATGCACGTCCAAAGCATCCTCACCCAGCTGTGCTCTAAAGCCTTCCTCTTCACCTTCTGCCATCATTTGCACCTTCCCATCAGCGAAAGGGAATCGGAGGAATCCGTTGTGAATCGCAGGATGAACTTCCTAAAGCTTCAGCTGGGCCTTGCCAATGAAGATATCAAAATCGTGCAGTACTTGGCCGAGCTGCTGAAGCTGCACTACATTCAGGAACCGGGGCAGGGGGGGAACCCCCTGCTCAGATTTGACTATGTTCCCAGCTTTTTGTACAAAATCTAGCCTTGCACAGGCTGTGTGCACGGAGCTCATCCGTGCTCGACATTGCCGCTGTCTGCAGTAGCTCTCACGCATCGGGGAGGGGCTGAGGTGTTGCTGTGTCTGCTCTGCAGAAATCCGGGTCTGCAGGAGCAGATTTCTGCGTGCTCCCTCCAGCCCAAAGCGTAGATGTTCCATCACATAAACCATCGGGCACTCTGTAAATGTTACAAGGGGCACTGTTAAAGTGGGTCACGGGAGCATCCTGGGGGGTCGTGGCATGAGGGGAGTTGGGCTACTCGGGGATCAATACTGACTAGTGTGCAGCCCCCCATATAGCACAGTGTCCTGCACGCTTCTGCCAGAACCCTGAGCACTGTCAGTCCCTTCCACAGAGCCAGGGCTGTGACCAGAGGTGTAAAGGCCACATGAAGTTTTGTGTCCACTGATGTGTCTGTCCTGTAAGTGTAACTCAGAGCCCCCTGGCAGGGCAGCAGCTCACAGGTCTGTGCACAGCCACAGTGCTTGGTGTCCCTTCCTGCACTTCCTGAGTTTCTGGGCACTTCCCAGCATAGGTTGTCACCTATCCTAGGGTGAGTGGGAGCACAGCAGAGGCACACATGCTTCTCTCCAGAAAGGGTTTCCCAGTTTCTCCCAGCTTTGTTCGAACCAGGAAGGTGGAAGCACTCCCTAAGGCTGGCGAGCCCCCAGGCGCCGGCCACTGTGAATGTAGAGCACTGTGCCTTGTTCATTTGTCACGTCCCATTTGCTGGGCAAGCCGAGCAGGCTGGAGGGAGACTGGGAATCCTCAGAGTGTGTGAGGACAGGGTGGCTTTTTAAAGACAGAAGGGAACTGAAGGAGGGTGAGGTCCCTTTTTTTAGGTGTTTTTTGTGATGGGGAAACGATGTGATTCAGCTGTGAGACAGCAGGCTGTTACCAGGGGCTGCCTGGCTGGTGAAGTGCAAGTGCTCAGGTGAGATTGGGGATGAATGTACTGGATTCTATGTTCTATCCATAATAGTTTATTTTATTTTTTTTTGTTGTTGGGGAGTTGGTGTTTGTGCTTTGTGGTAAAACAAGGCTGAGCATCGCTGTGTGCTATTCCTGGCTGAGCCGTTGTCACAGCCTGACTACCTCTCCCAGGGCTCCTGGGTGGCTCTGGATGGGGCAGAACTGCTGCTCTCTGAGCCTGGGCACTGAGAACTTTTCCTTTCAAAGCTTCTGTGCCATAAAGGATGTACCACCAACGTGGTGACACTCTCAGGTGATTCCTGTCAGTGCTGAAAGCTTTGTGCCTGGGGGCAGGAGTCTCTAGGTGATGCTGGGCCTGGGCTGCTCTGCCCGGTGCCATGTGGCAGCAGCAGCTCCCAAGGTACTTCTAAAGTAAGAAAAGTCTTGCTAGGAAATATAATCTTGGTTTTAATTCTTTTTAATGCTGATTATGGGGTAAGAACAGCTAAGATCGTACAAGAGCCGATATGTACTTTGGTTTGTTGTTTTTTTTTTAAACTTATGTTTATGGTGATAATGTGAGGCAGCTTTGGACATGATTATGATCTTCTTTCTGAGACTGGAAATTTTCTGTGTACAGCCTGGGGTTCCCCAGCATGGCTTAGACCCCACTGAGACTTGCTGTGAGACCTGCACTCCTCCAAAACCATGTCCTGGAGGCAGGGAGGCTCTTTGAGGAGGCTGTCATTTTGCACCAGCATCTGTGCCTCAGGATCGTGCCACCTCCTCCTCCTCTCTCCTGGAAAGGGCTCTCTGGGGTATAAACCAACAGGGCAGAAAAATTGTTTTTAAGGTTATTGCTGTTTGTGGTGGCTCAGCCAAGTTGGCCTCGTGGTTCTCCCCAGAGGGGTTTCCTGGGTCAGGAGCTGCTTGTGGTGGTGCTTTGAGATCGTGGTTGGAAGCAGTGTGGTGTGGCCTTTGCTGAAGGTGAGCAGTGTCTTTCTGGGCCTGCTCACCTTTACAGCACGTTTAAAGCCTTTTCCTGTTCTACCCGTGCCCTCCTGTCTCATGTGAGCTGAGTGCTGGTGAAAGGCCTCTGTTCCCATCAAATTGGCTGCTTCCTGAAGTGACTCAAGGTGCCCCCCTGGTTGATTCATGCACACCCAAACTTCCACACTAAAGCTGAGGTGAGATTCCCTGGGGGAAGAGGTGTCTGGGTAGATGAGTAATGCAGGTGACACCAGGCAGATGAAAACTCCCAGCATCCTGCTCTGGAGCAGTGCTTAAAACAGGAGCTTATTTCCTGCTGAAAAATAACCTAGTGCTGTTTGGGTTTAAGGAGGGAGGGAGGGAGGGACAGACTTTTTTTCTGCTGACTCATTCACATCTTCCTCCAACACGGAGTGGGAGAGATGATTTGTGATGGCTCATCTTAGTCACAGTGGTCTCGACCTGTAGTGTTCAGCTGTGCTCATAAATTGGTAAATAACTCACTTCTTGCTCCCTCTGTCCAACCTGTAGTATCTGATATTCAAGGCCGTGTTGAGCAATACTTGCACTACCACCTGTCTGACCTGCTTCACTTCTCTGCCACAAAGCAGCTCTGACTGGGGAGGATGCCCCGGGGGCTTGGCTGGAACATCACCCGATTCCCAACGGGAGCTCTGGGATTATCATCTGCAACTGGGAGCTGTGGAGAAACACGCCCTGGAGTGCTTGTCCTCCTCTCAGCAGTGTAACCTCTGAACTTGGACTGGGAAAGGGGAAGTTAACACCGGGCTGTGGCACCTCAGTGTATTTGGAGCCCAACCTGCTTGTGGTGGCAGAAACTGGGGGGATTCCGGGCACAGCTGGTGTTTGGGAGCTGAATTCCTCTTTCCTCTGTAATTTGTCTGTCTCTGTTCCTCTGCTCCTGTACAGTACAGATCCCTGTATTGGCACTTTAGGACTTTCCTCCATCTCTGGTGTGGTACCTCACCAGTTTCTGGTATTCACAGACTAACAACAAGCCACAACCTTTGCACTGATAGCTCCTGCCATGAGTCCTGGCACGTGTGTCATTGTCTTGCCTGAGCCATCGTTCCACGAGGAGCAGGGCAGGTTCCTGGCCGGGGCAGTGCCATCCTCACCTGGAGCCTTTCAGCTGCCAGAGCCAGTCCCTGCTTCCGTGAGTGCTGCTAGCCCAGCATGTCCCCCCTCCCGCACGGCCACGCTGGCTCCTCCCTCGCTGCCAGGGACAGGAGGTGTTCGACCTGACCGAGAATTCATCAGAGCAGAAGCCACCCCCGGCCAGGAGGGAGAGCTCCCGATTCCCACTCCTGCTCTTCCCAGCTGCTCAGAGAGCCCCTGCTCTGCTCTCCACTAACCCTCTGCTTCCAGCTCCCACCCCAGGAGGGTCAGCCATAGCTGTAGGTGATCTTAACCCTACAAAGGTTTCATTTCTCAGAGAACAGTGCTCAGATTTTCTTTCATCTGATAGCAATCACTTGTGAGCAGCTCCACAGCTGCCTTGCCTCGGCAGGGAGGAGCTGCCTATACTCTAGCAATATTCCCCGTGGTGGGAGAGGCACTCCAGGGGCGGGAGCTGATGGCTCTGAGCCCCAAGGCCAGTTCTTTGGGTTTTATTGAGCGTGAGGGTCCCAAGCCCCCTGGTCTGGTGGTCAGCCTGGGGCCAGCCCACGCTGCAGATTCCGGGAGCTGGGGAGGATCCGGGGCTTGTAGCAGCAGCACAGCGAGAAGGCTCCTGTAACAGGGTCTGAGGGAATTCAGGGAGCTGCCCAGGCTGCCCCAGAGCACAATGTCAGAGCACCAAACTGCACCCCGATGTTGGAGGGGTCACAAACCCCCCACCCACTGCTCCCCGAAACAGATTTAACTGGAAGGCAGAAGCAGGGTACCCAGTCCTGCTGGCAGCACGGCTGCTGGCATGGGGATGGGGCTGGGCTTGGAGCTGCCTCTGAGGGCCGCCAGGAGGCTGTGATGAATTCTCATCTTATTTTAAAAGCACTGTATCCTATTCCTGCATGTTGAGTTCCGTGTGTGTGCCTGTGCGTGCCGAATGCTTGCGTCAGTAGTTAGGGCGAGTGTGACCGGGAGAAATCCAAGAAGCATGTCTTAGTGTCGTGCTGTAAGTGTTACTGCACAAGAGTTTAACAGATGTTAACACCAAATGACTAGTCTGAGAAATGTACTTTTAAAAAAAAATATTTATTTGGGTTCAGATATTTTTGAAATACAAAAAAAAAAAAAAAATTGGTCGTATTTTTTAAAGCTTATAATTCTTGTCATACGTTGTGGTTAAATTCTTAATTTTACCGTGCTTATTAAAAAATGGTTCAACCTAAGCTTTGTGCCAAGGGGTTTGAGAAAATACTGGAGGATCTGGTTAGGATGGGATGGTGATCCCAGGAGGGATGTTCAGGACAAGGCTTGGCCTTGTCATAGCCTGTGGAGGTGGCAAGGCACATAGAATGAAGGAGAATCCTTGAGGCTGAAACCAGAGGGACTTCTCGTGGCTGTGAGGTTTCTTGTGCAGCTGGAGCCCCTTTCCCTCACACTGCCACGGGCAGAGTGTCCAGGGAATGTGGGCGGACCAGCCTAAATCTCATCTGCTGCTCCACAGCCAGCAGGAGCTGGATGGCACCTGGCCAGGAGGTGAGGGTGACCTGGTGCTCGGTCCCGGTGGTGACACAGTGGTGAAGGGCTGGTGTCCACATGGGGCTTGTACTCATGGGGGTCCCTGTGCCCCACATGGGAGGGGAAGGGGGAGTAAGAGCCAAAGGAGGAGCTGCTGCTGCAGCTCTACAGGGAAGTGCTGGGAGAAGGCACTGGGGTGTTGGTCTCAGGCTGGGGATTGTGAGTGTGCCATGATCCTGGGTATTCCCACGGCTCCGGGAGCAGGCGTGGCTGTGTCCCCTTACAGGACAGGCAGCCCCGGGAGCGGGAACGTGGCTGCAAAGGCTTCTACCTCTTCCTTCAGTGCCTTCAGCTCCTCACGGTATTTGGGGTCCTCCAACTTGTCCTTGAATTCCTTCAGCGTGGCTTTGGGGCTCATGTCCTTCTGCACACGCAGAGCCAGCTCAATCCCTGCCAGGATGAGGGGAGATGTCTTGGTCACAGCTTGGTCCCATCTTGGTCCCAGCTTGGCTCACAGCTGCTACATGCCCCGGCTCTCCCAGCCCTGCTGCTCCCTGGCACACAGCCCTGCTCCCTCCCTTCTTGCCATCTGAGGGACTTGCTGCTCTGGGAAACAAGTTGGACAACTGGGAGAAAACTGCGAGAGGGACAAGCTTTCAGCTTGTGCAGTGGGGAGAGTTTGGCTGGTCCCAGCTGTCACCAGATGTCCTCCCCCCATCCAGATGTGGAGGTAGGATGGTTATTCCTCATTTGTGGGTGTGCTCCCTTGCCAGCTGTGGGGATGGCTCTCAGCTGGTGCCTCCTCACCCGGGGGAGCTGCCCTGCTCCAGGCTGGTGCTGGCCCCACAGTCCCTTGGCTCACCTCTGTGGATGAACTGAGCCACCTTGCGGAAATCGTCCTGCCGGAAACCGCGCGAGGTGAGCGCCGGCGTCCCGAACCGGAGCCCGCTGGGGCGCAGGGCACTGACATCACCTGCACCACAACGAGGCACACATGACCAAACCTGACACCAAAACCACCACCCCTAGCACTTCAGCCCAGCTCCCAGGGCAGAACAGGAGCTGGCAGAGCTTGTAGGATGCCTCACCAGGGCACGTGTTCTTGTTGCAGGCAATGGAGCAAAGCTCCAGCACCCGCTCGGCCCGGCCGCCGTCTGTGCCTTTGCTGCGCAGGTCCACCAGGATCAGGTGGTTGTCAGAGCCCCCTGCAAAGAGAGGGCTTTGGTGGGTATGTGGGCTTGGGGAAATGCTGCTCCCGCAGGAAACTTCAGCAAAAGAAGACTTGAGATTTAACAAGGGGTGAGGAATTGTGCCAACAGAGCCCTGCCCGTGGTGTGCATGAAGTGCTGTCCTGGTCAGACTCCAGGGTCAGCCCCAGCCCACTGCCAAGACGTCTCCTCACCTGTGACGATGTCATAGCCCATCTCCATCAGTGCTGATGACAGTGTCTTGCAGTTGGCCACCACCTGCTGCTGGTAAGCCTTGAACTCGGGTGTCATGGCCTGATGCAGCGCCACAGCGATCCCTGCAGAGAGAGGCAGGCCAGGGTCAGTTTTGGGGGGCTCCCACCAACAATGGCAGTGCCAGCAGAAGCCATACTGCAGCCAAACGAATGGACTGATCCTTCCTTTCTCCTAACCAGGCTGGTGGCGTTGCTATGAGCCAAACCACAGGATAGGAGAGGCTTGGTTACTCCTTGGGCAATGCTGGATCCACCAGCTGCTGTTTGCCACTGGCCTCAGGCTGTGATCTCTGTAGGGCAGCTGGAGCCTCCCGTACTGCTGCTGGGGGCCAGAGCCCTGCCAGGACACCTTTGCCAGCTCCCTCTGCCATGCTGGAGCTGTCTGCCAGCCTGTCTGCATACCTGCAATGGCGTGGTTGTGTGGGCCTCCCTGCAGCCCTGGGAACACCGCCTGGTTGATGAGGCTCTCCAGGTTGTAGAGGGTCTCCTTGCCTGTCTTGGGGTCCACGCTGCGGGTGCCTGTGATACAGGGAGGACATGGTCACAAGGCAGCACAGCCACTCTTCTCCCACAAGCTGCTTTCACCCCCTGGCCACTCAGAGCAGGCATAGTCATTGTTCCTCTTCAAATCTGACCCAGGGTTAGTCTAGGAAAGCTCCCCAGTTGCTCCCAGGATCTTTCTGCCCTCCCTCCTTCCTACTTAGGGTAGGAAGGAGCATTAATTCTCAGCGTTTCTCCTGGCACCCCGGCCAGCTCGGGCACCTTTGCGGTAGAAGATCATGCCGGCCCTGCAGCCCCGCAGGGTCTTGTGGGTGGTGGTGGAGACGATGTCGCAGTGGTCGAAGGGTGAGGGCACCACGCCGGCGGCCACCAGCCCGCTGATGTGGGCCATGTCAGCCATCAGATAGGCGCCGTTGTCATCGGCGATCTTCCGCATGCGGGCGTAGTCCAGGTTCCGCGAGTAGCAGCTCACACCTGTGGGGACAGGTGATGAGGAGGGGACAGGAGCAGAGGTGCAGGACCCTGGGACAGCCCCAGGACCAGGCTTGCAATGAGGACACTACACAAGCTCCTTCCAGGGTGGTTGTGTTGGAGGTTTCCTCCTGGCACTGCAGCAGGGGTGCTGCTGGCTTCAGGGAGCCACCCCCAGCCAGGCTGTGGCACCAGGGAGGTCGGTACAGGTGTGATCCTTACCTGCTATGATCAGCTTGGGGTGGAAGAGCCGGGCGTTCTCCTCCAGCTTGTCATAGTCGATGTAACCGGTCTTGGGGTTGACCTGGGAGAGGAAGAGGAGGGCTCAGCCACTTCGGTGTGGTGAAGATCAGCTGCAGTGCTGTCCTGCAGGAGGGGGTGCTAGTACTTCTAACTTTAAGAGGCACCAACACTTATGATAACTGCATCCTGGCTGTGGCTGGAGCAGCTCTCTGTACCTTGTAGGGCATGGACTCAAAGAAGACAGAGGTGGCAGAGATCTTCTTCTTGTCTGTCATGAATCCATGGGTGAGGTGGCCACCATCGGGCAGGTCCAGCCCCATGATCCTGCCGTGGGGCTCCACCAGGGCCGTGTACACCGCAAAATTTGCGGGTGACCCTGCAGAGAGAGCACATCAGGCTGGTTATGAATGCTGGGGCACACAGAGGCCTGGGCAACTGTCCTGGCTCTCCTGAGCACCCCAATACCTGAGTAGGGCTGGACATTGACTCCCCACTTCTGAGGGTCGAGCCGGTATGCCTGCAGGGCTCGCTTCTGGCACAGCCTTTCCAGCTCGTCCACACACTCCGTCCCCCCGTAGTACCTGTAGTAAAGGACAGGGCAGGGGGGAAAAATCAAACTCATGACTCAGAATGGTCCCTGTGACCAAGCTGGGGAGAAACTGGGGTGATGTCCCATTTGTGCAGCCACAGCAGACGTGACCCTGCTGAGATTGTCCCATGTGTGGCCAAGGACAGAGGCTGAGAAGGTCAGAGCCTGTCCTGGCAGAGCCTGGCTGCCAGCATTGCTTCCTTCCCTGAGGTGAGGCCTGGCAGGATGGGGGGTTCTTCTCCCACCCTGTGAGGGTTTGGGTTGGTGGGCCTTGGCCCCAGCCCCATACCTCTGTCCTGGGTAACCCTCAGAGTATTTGTTGTTCATGCAGGATCCCAGTGCCTCCAGGACCGCTCTGCTCGCAAAGTTCTCCGATGCAATTAACTCCAGCCCCAACCTCTGCCGCTGCTTCTCCTTCTTGATGATGCTGTGCACCTTTGGGAGAAGAGAGAAATAGCTTCACCCATGCTGGCTCTGCACAGAAATGTGGATCCTCCACCACAGGGACAGGTTTGGAGAGGGGCCTGGAAAGGTGCTGGAGAACAGAGAGTGATCCTTTCTTGGTGCAGCTGATCCCAACCAGACACAGAGAGGGCACAGAGGGATGGATAGGTTCCAGCAGCTCAGCCTTGGACCCTGCCATGTCCCTGATGAGGTCAGCATCCCCACAGCTGGCTGGGGGGCGAGTGAAGCAGCTGGGCAGGAGCCAGGAAGGGGCTCTCACCTCTGGGTCATTGGTGTCCAGTGGTTCCATCACCATCTTGTTATGGGAGGCCCAGAGCTCGGCGCTGGGGAGTCCCTGTGTTGAGCTCGCCATGGTGCTGCTGCTGGGTCCGGGTCACCTGCCAGGGAGCAGAGAGTCTGTGGGATGGCAGCAGGGCTGTGTGCCTCCACATCTCCCTGTGTGCTGCCTGCTGCCATCCCACGTATTCCCTGAGAACAGCCATGGGCTGTTGGGTGAGGAGCACACAACTCTCAGGCTTCCCCTGCTGATTTAAGATCAATTTGTTAATTGCAGTGCTTTGATAATGTCTGATACTCTTCCATCACCATCCCTCCCTGAGCTCCCCCTGCCCAGCTTGGCAGTGCCTGATGTTAAATGTCAAGGGCAGTGAAGTGCTCATACCCACAGATCTCAATTTTGACACACGCTGTGATATCCACCATGCTTAAACCTCTTGGCTATTTTCCCTTGGGCAAAACCCCAGCAGTTCAGAGTCCTGCCCCAAACCCTGACTGAAGCATCGTGTGGAGCTGAGAAGCCTTGGGAGGCAGCAGCTCTGCGTCTGCTTGGTTCCATGGCATGGGTGATGCCCAGGCCACACAGGAGCCCTTTGCCCCAGTTGATGCCACTGCTGCTCTTGAGGAAGGAGTAACAGCTCAGCTGCTGCCTCGGCTGAAAACAAAGCATCTCTTTACTCATTAACCCCACAAGGTTGAAGGGCCATGAGCCATGAGGAGGTTATTATGCAATCCCACACGTTTTTCTTGTGCCAAGAGAAGCTGGGCTGGGCAAAGGGCTGCGAGGGGAAGTGCTGTGGCTCTGAGCAGGATGCTGGGTCCTGCATGTCCCCCCCAGCACAGGCTGCTGCAACACTCACACTCACTGCTTCTGGCTCAGGGGGGACAGAGCTGCCATTCCCAGTCAGGATGAGACCCCCCCACCGTGTCCCCTCTGATGGTGGACACCTGGCACCTCACCTGGGGAACCCTATCCCCGAAGCTCTGTCTCCACCTAGTTCTGTATCCCTTGTATCCCGACTCCATCACCTCCCACATCCCGAGAGCCTGGGGACGCGCCCCCCTGCCTTGCCCCGGGTGGCGGGACCCAGCGCTGCCTGGCCGCTGTGACCCGCAACGGGATGCCGTGCCGTGCCCCAGCCCTGCCCTCCCCACGCCGCACGCCCCGATCGGTCCCGGTCCCGGTCCCGGTCCCGGTCCCGGTCCCGGTCCCGGTCCCGGTCCCGGTCCTTACCCGCTCCAGATTCCAAGACCGCGCGGGAGCCCGCGCGCTACCATAGCCCAGCCGGGCCCCGCCCCTCCGCGCCGAGGCCAATCAGCGCCGCGCTCCGCCCCGGGACCGGCGGCGCGGAATACGCACGGAAAGGGTCTCGGCCAATCAGCGCCGCGCTCTGCCCCCTCCCCGCTTCCCATTGGCCCGCGCCGGGGCGGGGCTGGCGGCGCGGCCCGCACGTGGCGCCCGGGGCGCGGGTGACCTTGGCCGGGCTGGGAGGGGCGGAGGGCGCGTGGCTGCCCCCCCTTTGCTGTGACTCCTCTGATATCACCCCTCTGCTGTCACCCCTCCTCTGCTGTCACCCTCAGCTCCAGCCCTGCCTGTCGTGCACCCCCAGGTGTTTCTCCCCCAGCCCTGCAGTGTTCCCACAGTCCCACCACTTCCCCCATGAGCCAAAGGATGGGACACCCCACACTCTGCATCGAGCAGGGAGCACTTCCAGGCACCCCCAAACCCCCAAGACCGTGTCTCCAGGACAGCTGGTGTGCCAGGCCCTGGCACAGGTTGGGCACGTTGCTGCTGTTGTGGCGAGCAGAGCTGGCCCTGTCTCCCTCGTGGCAGGGCACTCTGGTGCCCAGAGGGATTTCTGGGTGCTCAGGAGGGAGAGCTGCCTGGGGGATGAATGGCACAAGCAGGAGAGTGGCTGTGTTTTCTTCATTCATCAAATCCGAGTTAGTGGGTGGGCTTGGCCAACTGGCCCCAGGGAACCTGCACCCTCTGGGGCTTCAGGGGTTAAATCAACACACCACAAATTGAGGAAGAAGATTAGGGAATAAGTGATCCTACTAAATTACTCGTGATCCCAAGCCATGGGAAAACGGGGTGATGCAGTGTGAGTCACCCTGGAGAGATGCAGCACAAGGGGAGTCAGTCAGGAGGGTAAGACCACCCGCTCTGGGCAGAGCAGCCAAGGAACAGCTCAGGAGTCCTGCCAGGATCTGCCAAGGCAAGTGCCAGGATGAACAGGAGAGAAATGAGGAGAAGGGTGGGTTCATCAGAGGGTAGTGGGTGGGTAAAGGACCTGTGGTTACAGTTGGATACAGCTCACGCTTTGTTCTGCACCTCCCTGGAAGGGGCTTGCTGAAGAAATAGTCTGTTAACATCATTGTTACCAGTCTAGATAGTTTTTGCTGTTGTAATTTGTTACTGGTCATCCAAAGAGGACTCCTCCCAGTGAGGGGTCTGCGTTTCCGTGGTTTTGCTGCTGACTCCTGCTGGATTGCTGCTGTGGGCTGTTGATGAAGGTGTTGTTCTGACACGCTGACACCAATAGCAAAGGTGGCCTTGGTTTCTCTGCTTGAAGCGGTTTCTGTGAGGTGCAGCTGCACATGCTATAGAGAAGGACTTTATATTAGTTATAAATTCATTTATCTAATCTAGTTTTTCATACACATTTTGTGCTCACAGAGATTTTCACCTCTCTTAGCTGCAGATAACAGCTCTGTTGTGATTTCAGGTCTTGGCTTGCTAGTGATGGACAGCACCTCTTCCCCTTCCCCTTTCTCTGCCAGCTGCCCCACGGAGCAGCCTGAGAACACCACTGACCATGACTACTACTCCAGCCTCCAGAAGACCATGCACATCCTGTCCATGGTGGTGTACAGCATCGCCTGTTTGCTGGGAGTCACAGGGAACGGCCTCGTCATTTGGATTGCAGGCTTCAAGATGAAGAAGACAGTGAATTCCATCTGGTTCCTCAACCTGGCCATAGCTGACTTCATCTTTACCTTTTTCCTGCCCCTCAGCATCGCCTACACCGCCCTGGGCTTCCACTGGCCTTTTGGGAAGCTCCTGTGCAAGCTGAACAGCACCATCGCCTTCCTCAACATGTTTGCCAGCGTCTTCCTCCTGACGGTCATCAGCATTGACCGCTGCGTTTCCGTGGCCTTTCCCGTCTGGTCTCACAACCGCAGGAGCCCGGAGCTGGCAGCCAGGATTGCACTGGGGACCTGGGTCCTGGCTGTCCTGCTCAGCTCCCCGTACCTCATCTTTCGGGACACTGTGGTCAGTTCCAGGAATGTCACCAGCTGTTACAATAATTTTGCGCTGTCCGATGATTACACGTCCGAGGCAACGCGCAGGCTGTGGAGGATGCGGCACAAAGCCATGATCATCACGAGATTCTTATGTGGGTTCCTCATCCCCTTCATGGTGATTCTCATCTGCTACAGCGTCGTGGCTGTCAAGCTGAAAAGAAGGCAGCTGGCCAACTCTGCAAAGCCCTACAGAATCATCATTGCTGTCACAGTGTCGTTTTTCCTCTGTTATTTCCCCTATCATGTCTTCTCCTTGCTGGAAATATCCAAAAACTCTTCCAGCCATGAGATGAAACTGGCCCTTTACATAGGGATCCCCTTGGTTTCCAGCCTTGCTTTCTTCAACAGCTGCATCAACCCCATCCTGTATGTCTTTGTGGGGCCAGATTTCAAGGAGAAGTTTCGCCAGTCCATCCTGTCCACGTTTGAAGGGGCCTTCAGCGAGGAGTCAGTCCTGGGCAGCCTGACCAGCCGGCGCAAGTCCAGGTCTGCTTCGGAAGTAGAGGTCCCAAGGGTCTGAGCAGGTGCTGGTGTGGAAGGGGCCGTTCTTTTCTCTGCAATTTCCCTCATTTCAGAGCTCAAATCATGGGACTGGGGACAGTGAAGGGCTGCACTTGCTAGCAAGGTGTGGTTTTGTGTTTTGGAGGTATCTCAAATATGCTATGATTTAACACAGTGGGAACGGAAGAACTCTCTGGAGCTGCAGCAAGGTGGGTCAAAGTAGCAGCATTTTAATCCTTGTGCTTTTTGACTCGTTTATGGAGCCTTTATAGAAAGAGGATTAAATGCAATGGTTGTATGTATTTTTGTAGGGAATGGAATAGTGAGTAAGACACTCATCTTTTCTCTCCTCATGCAGGACAAATCAGTGGTTGTGCTGCTGTTACTCAGATTTGATGTACAGCATAACTATTTCTGAGCAATTGTTGTCTCTGTTTGTGTTTGATGTGTTTCCAGCCCTTAAATAGCGGAGATCTGATACTTTGTGCTGTTGGTGAATGAATATTAACCCCCAATAAACTTGTGTAAAACGTACCCAGCCTGTTGTGTTGCCTGTGGGAAAAAACACTTGATCCAACCTGACCGAGCAGGTTCATCTTTGGTAACAGAACAAGCAGATAAAAAGATTAAATATCTAGAATTTGGAAACAAACCACTGGTATTAACAGCAGCTCCATGAGTGAGGCAGACAGGACACGACCTGGGTGTGAGGACTTGCCTGGGGCACATGGATGTGGTTGCCAGACCATGGTTATGGTTTATTGCTGGGTTTCAGACCTTTGGGTACATTTGAAAACCAGTGATTGGGAGGAGAAAGAAGAACAAGTAGCTGAGCTGAGTCTGGTCAAGCTTCATGTTTGCAAACTGTCCAGGATGAAGAAGGTGGGGACTTTCTTACAGGCTTCATAAGCCTCTGGAACTCTTACATTTTTGTGAGTAGAAAATGTTGGTCATGTAACAGGGAATGACAGTATTGAGCTGTTGTCACTCCCAGCCCATCCTCAGCAAGCTGAGGGAGCAGTGACTGTATCATACCTCCCTCTCCTGCCCCACACAATTTACCTACCAACCTACCAATTGTCCTGTTCATCCTGTCAGAAACCTGCCTTGGAGCCTCCCTGCTCTGGTGGTTGGAAAATCTCTGACTCCTGGCCGGATCATAGGAATTTACACGTTCCTCACCGTTCTGCATGGATGATGTTACGAGTGAGAGCTGTCACCTGAACATGTGGGGGATTAATTATGGGCCTGCTGGGCCATGCAGTATTGAATGAAGGTCGTGATCCTAAAGGCACACATGCACTTAACCTCACATTCATGCACAAACCCGCTGAGAACAGGGAATGTAACACGACCATCATATGTCAAGCTTGAGTGAACAGAGAGATTTAACCTTTGCCACAAATTGCTGCCTGTCATGCAGATAAAACTGCAATGTTTGCCATGCAGCACGTAACTCTGGGGCTATTTACTTGCTCCTGGTGATAAACTACAGCATCGATTGCCACGTCAAGGTTGTGCAGACCCACGTTTGCTCTTTCTGGTTTTCGTTATCTTTTGCAGAATCCACATAATTCCTTGTGACAAGAGTCTCTGTGAGTGTTGGACCAAAGCCTTGGACTCCTGTCTTGCTTCTCTCCTCAACCCTGGCAGCCTTGAAGGCCAGGATTTGAAGTGTTGACCTGGTTTGTGGTGGGAAAGAAGACAATTTTCTGGGTCATTTGGAGATCCAAGGTGGGTACAGATTCCCATGGGACAACATGATTTAAGTGAAACAGAACATCTGGATGATCTAAGGAATTACCAGCTGTAGGTAATGGAGCAGGATGAGCTTGAGATAGAGATGGATTTGTCATCCTGGGTCTGATCCCTGCCCTTTGTGCAATGGGAAACCGTGCTGACAGCAAGACAGGTCAGGGACTGCTTCCAAGATAAATCTCCCATTGTATCGAGTTCCCTCATGTTCAGACTATCTCATTAGCACAGGGATAATTGTCAGTCCCTCATTCCCAACTAGGAGGCAGTTCATTCTCTCTGATATTTCCATTTGCCATATGCTTATCTAGAAAAGCCTGAATGAAAAAAAAAGGGGAAATACTTTCCAACAGGCAATCCGAGGAGGCTGCTTTGGCAGCTGTGCCCCCCTCTGACGCAGCTTTGCTGTCAAGGCTCTTTTAGATGCCATGGGATGAGTTGAACAGCCTGAACCTCCCAGTATTTGCAGTCATTGAGAAAGGTGCTGAACCCGCTGCCCTGCTGTGTGAAGCCTCATTGGTCCTGCAGAGGGGCCGATCCGACAGCTCCGCTCCTACAAACAGCGGGCTGGGATGGGCAGAGCCACTGGGGTGTTCAGGGTCCAGGCTGTGCATGGGGAGCCTTAGCTGAGAGAAAAAGCAGTTTTTAGCAAGAATTTAAGTCAGGGATCTCGCCAGGAGCAGCTGTTGCGGCATTGCTTTGAAGGAGACTTGCAGGTGACTCTGGAGCTGGGAGAACTGCAAAGATGTCAGGGAGGAAACCAGCCAAGGAGGATGGGGCAAGCAGTAACAAAAGAAGAGAAAGTATTTTCTCCCTGGGACCTGGATGACAGCAGGGAGATAAAAACTGGGCTCAGAATAGTTATGAGGAAAGAGGAAGGAGTGGGAGCTAAGACAGTATTGAAAGTACCAGCAGCAGGATAGTGAATGCAAATGAATGGGAGGGACACTGCAGCAGGTGAGGAAATCCTCATTAAGGAGAGCTTAATGAGACAATAAAAGCCTCTGGGAAGCCTCACAGTCCCCACACCTCTCCTCTGGTGAGACTTTCCTGGTGAGTAAAATTTTTAAGTGTCTGTGCTCTTGAACTTGGGAAATTGACTTGTTTGATGAAGTCAAAGGTAGTGCACAGAGGTCTGAGAGCAGAACCTCTTCCAGAGCTTGCTGAAATCAGGCAGGAAATAATACAGGGAGCTAGAGGAGAGGTTCTGGTAGAAAGCTTTTCTGTGAAGGAGATGTTGGTAATAGTGTCAGTAAGGGGGGTAGGCTGAAGAGGCCTGAGTAAAGCTCAGCCTTTTTTTGCTGTAGCAGCTGGGTGAGGGCCCCATTCTCAGCATGGGCATTAATCTGCTCTCACTGATCTGGTGCTGGTCTCAGTCAGAACCAAACTGGGGAGGACACAGGATACTCTTTGCTGGTTGTACTTTGGTGCTTCCCTACACCTCTCCCATCTCCTTTTTAGTCTATAGGCTGAGGCTGGTACCAAATCTTTTTCATACCCTGCAGTTGTGCATGCAAAGCACAAGACCTGTTCTCATACACTGAATTCTGCTTTAATCTGCCAAGTTGCTCTACAGTGACCAAGTCAAGCCCTTGCTGTGCTCACTAAATACCTGCACAGGGCATGGTGCCTGTGTGCTCTTTTGGAGAGGAGCTGCAGGTTAGTGAGGCAAATGGCAAATCATGCTGGGACCCAGTTGGTAGGGAAAGGAGGAACAGAGCACTAATTAGTGTTTGTAATGGACTGTGTAGCTGCTGAAACTCCTAAAATGACACTATTTCACTGTGCAGTCCAACCACTTCTGCCTAAAGGCCAATCAAAGGGCAAACCACACCCGTAAACATCAGGTGATGGAGGTGAACAGGATGTTACACAGACTTAGCAGGACAGAGCTGCCCACGCACAGCAATGCAGAGAGAATCTGTGAACAAACAAGAGGCACCACGGCCGACTTTTGTTCCAGGGCAGTGTTTGTCCAAACCCTCACTCTGATATCCAGCTCGAGCTGTCAGTGTGTGCAGGACCTGTCACACTCCAGGTATTCCCACAAACCTCTCATCTCCTTGTGGGGAGGCTGGTTGGAGACAACCCCGTGTCTGTGCTGGAGCTGATGCAGCAGATCTGTTAAACATTACAGACTGACCCGGAACTGGGAGCTTAGAGACAGGAAAAAACTCCTGAACTCGGGGACTCCTTCAGTCAGAGCTTTGTGACTCAGGGGGAACAGGACTGTGACAAATGAGTCTGTGCCTGTTTCCCACAGACAGCCAAGCAGTAATATTTGATAAAGCAATGAGTGCTGTCTACTGCCACAGCCCTTCACACAGAGATGTGTTCCCTGCTCCAGGACCTTTATTAAAGCACTTTGCTTCCCAGACATGTGGAGTGCTATTTCCAGATCAATCCTATGATATGATAAAATTACACCTCCTTGCATCAATTCCGAAGTGCATTTATAGTTGCTTTGAGTTCTGCCTCCCTAGCTGGGTAGTGTCCAAGGCAGAATCTTCTGGAAACTGGACACAGTTGTCCCCCAGGCAATAAAGCTGAAGGCAGGGGGGCGGCAGGTGATGGCTTTTGGTCTGTACTCAGTGTGGAGGTGTCTGCGTGCTGCAGAACCTCCCTGAGGGCTCCAGAGGGGTTGTGTAGGGTAGAAGATGTTTTTGGGATGCTTTTATTTGTTGGGAGAGACCAAACCTATCCACAGGGCTCTGTCAGGATGAAATCAGAGCGTTTCTTTGCTGCACCATGTCTGATAGTTCTCACTGTCAGTTGGTTTGGTAGGTGAGCTTTAATATCCACTTTTATTTAAAAAACAAACAAACAAAAAAAAACACAAACAAAAAACCAAACCAAAAAAAATCCCAAAAAACTCCAAATAAACAAAAGCCAACCTGGCTGAGCAGTGATGGATGGAGCTCAGGAGCCAGGGTGACAGCAGCATTTATCTTCTCTCAGGTGATGGATGCAGGTTGTCCTCCAGCCCAGTGCTGGATGAGCAGTGCCCTTCACCTTGGATGGACTAGGTGTGGTGTGGGGGAGTTTTTTTGCACATCTTTGCTTGCCAGGGTAGCATCTGGATAAAGAACAACAAACCACTGTGAGCCAGTGTGTTCACACCCAGCAAATGTTCAGAATTCCTTAGATGGCTGCTAATTGAATCATTGTAAATGGAATAAAATCTGTGTGCTCATCTTGGAGCAACTGTTTGTTCAACTCCTAGCGTTTGGATAGAGGATTGTCAAATTAACAAATCCCTCTCCCTTGAGAGCTGAGATTTAAACTGGTGTTCCTCTGATCAGGAAGACAGAGGTGGGAAAGAAATTGTTTGGTTTTTTTTTTCTAAGAAAATAAAGGCAGTAGCCTTACAGAAAAAGGATTGGAAGACAGGATCACTTAGTTCCTGGTCCTGTGGCTTGCTTAAGCAATGTCAGGAATTTGGGGCAGCACAAATCAAACAGTCAGCAAATTCTGAGGGCCCTGGGGTATTGAAAAATGCTTCTGGGGAAGGCTGCTAATTGCATTATGGGTCAGTGCTTCACCATGTGTTGTTTCTGGTTGTTCTGCATTAAACTGCTCTGTCACACCAGCCTGTAGCAGAATCTGCAATGGAGACCGATGCTAAGAGAAATCTGCTCTGTGAAGAGGCCAACAAAAAGCTCACCCCCCTTTTTCTTTTTGTCCTGAAAGCCCTGAAACAAAAAAAGAACCTGCTTGGGTCAATGATCCTGAATCAACTGTGTGGAAGCACCAGCCTGGAAGCAAAAAAACATGGACTGGGAATGGTGGGGGTGGTGAGGGACGGGACTATTCCCTTACTCCTCAGTGTAATTTGGAAGAGGATTTAGGAAAGGCAGAGGATCACTGCAGCGTCTAAGGGGCTGATGGCCTCTCGGCTCACACATTTCTAACAGATGTCCTGGCTTTGTGAGCCTGCAAGTGGAGCGCTCAACATCTGCTCCATGGCTCCACGTTAAATGGCTTAATGGCTTCTTCTTCCCCAGCTCTGACTCTGCTGAAAATAAAAAAAAAAAAAAAAGTCAAAAAAGGATATGACCAAGTCTTGGAATGCATGAAGCAAGAAGCAAGTGTGAAATCTGGGGAAAACACTGGCCTGTGAATGTTTTAAAGTGGAAAAAAGCAGCTTGTAGTGGCAGAAACACAGCTTCAAACTATGAATTCAATGTTGTTCCTTTGCAGGCATGTTTAGTGAGCTGGCCTGTGGCTTTTCTTCCTCTTTTATGTTAAGGCCAGCAGGGACAGAAATATCTGCTGGGATGATCAGCTTTGCTCCAGTGCACCCTGCAGTCCAGGAATGACCAAATTTAAATGATTTTTGTGAGGAAAACTGCAGCAGAAAATACCTGATTTATAGCTTTATGCTACATGCTAGAATTCTGATCCATAAAATGCTGTTCAGCTTGGGCGTACTGAGAAGTGTAATTTAAAACAAGTTCTAACTGTGCAGTCTGGGAAAAATCATGGTATTTGGGTTCTGTATTTAAAGGAGGGATGTGTGTCTGTGTGGGATGACTGTAACTTCCTCAAAGCAATTTTGTCATGGGTGTCTTGGGATAAAGCGTTTTTTTTTTAATTTTTATTTTTAAACAGGGTGACTGAAATAAGAATCTCATTTCAGATGTCAAAAAAATCTTTGCGCAGTTCAACCGATGTATGCAGCAAGGAGAGTCCTGAGAGGACGCTGGATAAATCCTGTGTGCTTTTGACATGGAACTGAGAGACCACTGATAGTTTCTGTTCTTAATTTCCTTTGCAGAAATGCCTCTTTTTGCTGATGGCAAGGGCCAGAAGGAAGCTTGGTGTCTGGAGGGAATGGAGATGCAGCCACCCTTCCATCTCTCTCTGGTGGGGATGAAGATGTGGAAGCTCCAAAATAATGGCACCCTGTGGACATCCCTGTGTTATTCTACATGGATTTTGCACCAGGGGTAATTTTTTGAGGAGGAGGAGGGGCAGCTGAATTGTGGTGTTGGGGTCCCTTCACCATCCCAGTTAGGGATTCAGATCTGTATTTCTCTTTTTCAGACAGCAAGGCTCATAATGGGTCTAGAAAATATATTTTATAAGGAATGGCTGAGTTGGGTTTGTTTGCTCTGGAAGATGCTCAAGGGCCCATTATCATTCTCTTCAACTCCCTGAAAGGATGTTGTCGTGAGGAGGGGCTTGATCTTGGAAATGGCTTTAAGCTGGTGAGTGATTCAAATTAGATATCAGAAAAAATTATTTTCATTTTCCGTATGGTCAGGCACTGGAATAGGTACCCATGGAGGTGATGGAGTCACCATGCCTGGCGGTGTTGGAAGAGGCACCCAATCCGGCGGTGGATTATGTAGTTCCGTGGTACTGCCGGGCTGACGATCGGACTGGATCATCCTGAAGGTCTCTTCTAAAACTGATGATCCTATAACTCTTAGGTTCTGTGACGCCAAGAGCCCGTCCCGGTCTCCAGGAGCACGGCGGGATAAGGACGAAGATGGCGGCGGCCGAGTCCCCTCAGCGCGGCGAGGGAAGGGGGGGGGGGGGCGTCGCCTCAGGCCCGCCCCGCCCGCCCGCGCTCCCTCCCTCACGCCCCGCCGCCATCTTGCCCGCGGAGCACCGGAGAGGCTGAGCTCCGCCGCCGCCTCTGCCTCTCCCCCTCCTTCCCCTCCGGCCGGGCCGCCTTCTCCCGGGGCCGGGGGGCCGGAGCCGGCAGGTAAGGCATTCAGAGAGGGGCGCTCCCGCCCGCTCAGCCCAGTTCAGCCGGCTGTGTGAGGGTAGGACATCCCTCTTCCCCACATGGGGTTCCGACGCCTGAGGAATGGGCTACGTCCTTCCCTCAGGGGATGGAGACCCTCTCCTGGGCGGCGCCTTTTTCGGGGTTGCTCGGGCTGCCCGCAGGTTCCACAGGTGAGGGGCAGCGGCGTGGGGCGGCAGCGTGCCCGGGCCGCTCTCGGGGCGGAGGGATGGGATCCACGGGGACCACGGGGCCTGTGTAACCCACCTGGAACATCTGAAGGACTGGTAGGGCGGTGTGGGCTGGAAGGGTCTGCCAACCCAGGAGGATCGGGGAGTGTGGAGCGACGGGAAAATTCTCTCTGTGGGAAGATTGGTGAGAGGGTGCAGATTCCCTCCATCCCATTCCTTACTGCCATGATTATCCCATCCAGTTATTCCTGCCTCTGTGGCTTTCTATGTGGACATGCTCAGTTCATGGAGACGTAAAGCCATGTGTGCCCGGTAATTGTTGTGCTCATCATGATGTGTCTGTAATTGTGTGCAGCCTAAGATAAAAGGCAGGAGTTTGTGCCGCAGCCTGTTCTGTGTGCTTGTGTTCAACCTTGGGAGGCTGGCCCGCCTCAAACCAGAGGGTTATGGTCCCATGTACCCCTGTGGAGTCATGTTTTTGCACATCTAATAAAGTTTTGTGAGCTTGCTTTCATCCCAACACCTGTTTGAAGGCTGATATATTCGTATTACTCTTGAAATACAACTTCCCTGCCCACACACACCATAGCCCACTTGTAGCTGCCAAAGTACATCCACAAGAAAGTCTTGACCTATAGTGACATGAAGAAAAATGGTCACTGTCGCTTGTAAATACGTCAGTATATTGTGTAAAGTGCACCCTCAGCAATAGTTGGGAGCCAACGACTCATCTTTTCAAATCTGCGAAGGTTCAGGTTCGTCATTTCCCTACTCTGTGGAACAAAGAAGACACACAATTGGATTAAAAAATGCCTTCTGAACGCTATGGATGCTTTTAGTAACGTGGAAAGTTGCCTCCACGATGTTCCCATCCAGGCACACAAGCAGGGCTCTCTCAGGTGATGTTCTGAGTCCTAAAAGCATTTCAGGTCTGTGCTCGCTCTGCTGGAGCTGAGATGGATCTTGAAACACCGTCATGAATATTTGATGGGTAGTGGCCATTAGTTGACAGCTGGGAGTTGCAGAGAGTGAGGTACAGCAGAGCAGGGAAACACTAGCTAAGAAATGGGGTTTTTTTTTAGGTGTTTAATTTGAGAGGGATGCAGGTCTTGCTTTGGGGATGTAGGGGGGCCTCTCTGGTTTTAGTGCAGGGAAACATTCAGACATGCTGGGGGCTGAAGTTGTGGCAGTTTGTGCTCGCTCTGTGCACAGTTTGGAAGTTCTGATGACAGGCAGGTTTTCGTTCACAGCAGTTGAGCAGAGCTCAGCCTTGGCACCAACAGATTTGTTGTTAGGAAGTTCCTGACTTGACTTTGGCTCTTCACAAGAGTGAATTGTTAACAAAGTTAAACTGAGCCAGACTGTCTGGTTCTAAAGGAGGTGGGAAGGAGTTTCATTACAGACCTAGCCAGCTGTTCTGTAAATACAAAACTCTTTCTTTTAGTTGCTGTTTTGGAATACTTAATAGTTGATATATCATCAGCTTTTTCTAACCAATTACATATGACTATTAGATAATTCTGTTTCTCAGCAGGGAGATGTTTACCAGGAAAGGAGTTACTGATTTAGCTGTAATTTCTGTTTACTTTGGTTTAAATTATGCCACTCATAATTCCAGTCTGCTACATAATGCTGGAATGGATGATGAAGGATTAGATTATTTATGCAGCAGGATTTTGAGTTGAATGCTGCTTGGATCTATCCAGGGCTGCTGGTCAATGGGATCTTTTTTTCCTTTTATTTGACTAAAATTTTATAGTAGAAGTAACCATGAAAATGTAATTTACAAAGAGTAATAAAAAGATGGAATCCCATTAAATCCTTGGTGAGATTAGTGGTTTGTGCCTTTCTTTCAAACAAAAAACAAATGATACTGATTTCCTCCTGATATTTTTCTCCTGTTTTCACAGGAGAAATATTGCTTTCAAAGAATGACAACAGCTGCTTCAGCAAGTGGATTTGCTGTGCAAGAGGTCATTATTTACAGCTGCCAGCTTTATTGAATTCTTCCTTACATTTCATCCTTATTTGTAAGTTTATAAGTTACTGCAAAGTAATGAAAAGAGACTCAGCTGTGGAAATAGACTCTTCTATCCAGGGCCCAGGAGCTCTTTTTAGCTCACTTCTACCCCTCACTGTCTTTGTCATTTTGGAAAAGTCAATAAACGTTGCTCAGTTCTGGAAAATGAACTGGACAAGCTGATGGAAAAAAGTATCAGTGTTACTGGATGGTAGCCTGAGGAAAAAGGAAAAAAAAACTTGCTTCTGGAAGGTTTTCTTGGGGGATCTTTGGAGAGCTGTAGGGAAGCTATTAAAGTGGGGATAACAGATTTTAAGGATGCTGGAATATCCAGGGTTCTGGGAGACTACACTTTCTAAACTGAAAAAGTGTGTCTTGTTTTGTTTCGTTTTTTAACGTGGATTTTAATAACCTTTGCTCTCTTGCAGTCTTGTAGAAGTGGCAAAACAACTTAGGGTTGATGTTTTGTGTGCCATCAACTGAAATTGGGACCATCATGAATATCACCAAGGGTGGGCTGGTGCTGTTCTCAGCTAATTCCAATTCCTCATGCATGGAACTGTCCAAGAGGATTGCTGAGTAAGTAAAGTCTGTGGGGAATCTTGTGGTTGTTCTGATAGGATTTGTTTTACTGGACATTTGATTTCCTTATTTAAGGAAAGTTATATGGGAAAACTGCCATGATTTGCAGGAATATGCAGTGTGCTATGTTGGAGAATAGATTTCAACAGCTCAATAAGAGAGAGAGAAACTTGTGTTTGAATTATTCTGTGGCAGTTTGTGATTGGCTGCAGCCTTTTGTAGGAAACACGTGGGATAATTAATGTTTGCATAGTGTTAAATCATCATGGCACAAATTTTTACTCCTTGTAGTGAGGTATTTTTAGGCAGGAAAACTACATCCCTTCTGCTCTCTGTATATTTTGGATGGGAACATTTCTTTAGCTTAAATCCACGAATTGCTTCAGCAAAATTTTTAGGACTTAAGTACATTTTTACTGTGCTAATTAGGATGCATAACATTACTGGGAATATTAGGATGGATTTCTTCCAGAGGATTATTTACCCAAAGTTCGATGTGATAGGAGGAGAAAGGAGAGTGCAAAGGAACTCATGAATTTGGCCTGAGTGCAGAGCACACTCTGATCTCCTCTTTGTAGTGATGAGGTCTAGCTAATGCTGACAAGGACTAAATACAGCAGATATTATTCTTCCATTACCCATAAAATAGTGCTTGCTACTCTTTTCACTCTGCATTGACTTTTTGCTATCGAGAAGAATGATTTAAAAGCAGCATTTTTAAGTATTGTGCACATGCATGTTGCCACATGTGTATGTTTATATATATATATATAGGGAAGAAATATATTAAAATTACAAAATGTTACATGATTTAGTATTTCAGCATTTTTTCTTGCTGCTTATTCTAAATTTTAGTGTAGTCTTCAGTACAGCTTTTGGAAATCATAGGTGCTTTTTAAAAAGATGTTCACTGCAATTACTGGTTTTATAGTCTGGGATTTTCTTTCCTTGGTTTTCTCCCAGGGAATGCAGCCTTTGCAGTAACTGTTGCATTATATGGGATTTACATTTGATTTACCCTTCCTCTCCCCTTAGTGACTTCTGCCTTTTTTCTGTTCCTGCAGGCGCTTGGGAGTTGAGATGGGAAAGGTTCAGGTTTATCAAGAGCCAAACAGAGGTGAGCATTTAATTAGCAAAATGGAAATGTACCTGGCACTGGTTTGAATGTATTGATTCCCCTTTTCTTAGACTCTAAAAAGAGTTTTGCTCTTGCAAATATTGCATATTTCTCTTCTTGGCAGAAACACGAGTGCAGATTCAGGAGTCTGTGAGAGGAAAGGATGTATTTATCATCCAAACGGTTTCAAAGTGAGTAACTGTGCTAGTATTTGATGTGGGCTGTCCATAGGAATGAACATTTTCATTTTTGATCTCCTTTCATGTTTGTGATGCAGTGTATTAAGCTTAGATTAACTAGATAGAAGCTTTTCTTTGTGGAGGGTTTTTGTTACTGGTTTTGATTGGTTTTTTGTATATACACAAAACCAGCTTTGGCATAAGGTAGCTTCTATGATTTTAATTTTTAGGGACTATATCAATAAAACCTTCCCCTTGGTCTCTGCATTCCTTCCCTAGGTGTATTCTTTCGCTTATGTAATTCTCTTTAAATTCTTCTCAGCTCCCTGTCTCTAGCACCATCACAAAGTTTAGATGTAGGAGGAACGTTTCCTGGGCAATGTGTCCTGTGATTCAGAAATTCTTCAATTTTATGTGAAAAGAACTTTACAAATACTAAGACTTTTTTTTTTTTTTTTTAATGGCAGCAGAAATGTAGATCTTAGTTGATGACCAGTTCTCAAAAAAATGTGCCCTCTCCATCTCTGCTGGGTGGTGAGTACAGGATTTTTGTACTCCAGCTACAGAAGCAGATGTTTCTTTTTGCAGGGATGTGAATACCACGATCATGGAGCTCCTAATCATGGTGTATGCATGCAAAACCTCCTGTGCCAAAAGCATTATTGGAGTGATTCCTTACTTCCCCTACAGCAAACAGTGCAAGATGAGGAAAAGGGGCTCCATTGTCTCCAAATTGTTGGCCTCGATGATGTGCAAAGCTGGTAAGAATGTGGCTGTCCTTAAATAAAATCTCAGCAAGGGAGGTTCCTGCTGTCAGCTTCCAGCTTTAGAGAGATCTGTGCACAAATTTGGACTCTGTATAAAAACAACTGCCAAGTTTTCGTGTGTTTAAAACCTACTTAAAAAGGAGAATGTAATTCGAAATATTTACAAATGATGAGTTCATAAAAAACCCAAATTTGATACAACTATTTTACATTGAGTTGTACTGAGCTGGCAAAATGAGTCTGCTGGGCTGAGCTGCTTTGGGCTGTGGTATCCATCTCTCATAATACCATCCTTTGCTTTTCTTCCAGTCTGGAACAGTTGTGCCTTGTCATTTCTGTCTTGTTTTTAACTTGTTGGATGAATGCACTTTGTCCTTTACATTTGAGACCATGTGGGAGAATGAGATTATTCATTTTCACAGCCTTCAACACATTTTCTACTTCTTTCCTTTCACTCCCATCCCTGGGAAAAAGCAGGCAGTTCTAACAAACTGTGTGATCTGGGTTGTTATTTTGAGAGAAGTGGTTTTTGATTAGGAGCTTGGCCCATTTTTCAGGAGTTCAGAGCTATTGAGTGTTCCAGGATCTCGCTGTGTGACACAGGATAAATCAGTGCTTCCATTTTGTCCCATGTCCAGTGGAGAAGGATCTTGCCTGCCTCAGTGTGGCACTGCAGAGCCAGTTTTGTGCAGTGTTCTCAGGTTCTTCTAAAAGTCACTGTAGAAGCCTCAAAACATGTTAATGACAGTGTAAGAGGGATTAAAATTAATTTATTATGCACTTTACTTAGTGTTCTCATGCAGCTTAGAGATTTTCTGGACAAACTACTGTGAAACTTAGAAAAATAAAGTGTTTGTTCTCTCTTAGTTTTCTTGATGTGATTCTCTGTATGTCTTCTTATTTTATTTTAAAGGACTAACTCATCTTATTACCATGGACCTACATCAAAAGGAAATTCAGGGTTTCTTCAATATTCCAGTTGATAACTTGAGAGCATCCCCATTTTTACTCCAGTATATCCAAGAAGAGGTGAGGAAGGCCTATAATTACTTTTTTTTTTTTAATTCTTTTTTTGCCATGTCTCAGGGCATTTGAAACAAATCCCTCTGAAAAGATTAACTCTTCAAACTGAATTTTAAGGGGGAAAGGTCATGTTGGGGCAGGGAGTGGTAGTGTGAGCTGTTGGTTCTTCTCCACATTTAACTTTTGCTTTCCTGAAGAGCTGGTGTTTTCTTATCCATGCAGCAATGCTGTTGTTTTTTTTTTCTTAGATATATTCCCCTAACACTGAAGAAAAAAATAGGATTTTCTTGCTCTTGATGTGCTCTTCCTTTCCTATTTCCAGTTTCCTTGACATTTATAGGATGGGCTGTTTGTGTGGGTATTAATTTAAATTACATAATAAGAAGCACTTTGGAAGTTGTAAACTATATTGATTGTGCTCTGAAAGTCAGGCTGGTGGGTGGAAATCTCACCCACTGTTTGTTCAGACTGCATGTCTTGACTTGAGGAGCTTAACTTCAGATGTTCTGTGCCTCCATTTCTCCATCTTATTTTTATAAGGGTTTTGAGAAGTGCTACTGGTAGATTCCCCTATACAAAATGTGCAGATGATAATTGTAGGTATAAGATGCACGTTAAGCCTCTGACTAATGGTAATTTGGAATAAAGCAAATGCTTTCTTCCTGGTGAGAGAAAAGGTTTAGTTCACTCTTGCTTTTGAATCCAAGCTATTTCTTTTTATAGAGATAGGAATGCCTCAATTTAAAAACAAAACACACCCCACCCCACCCCCTTAAAGAAACCCAAACCAACATAATTTTGTTATGACAGTATTAAAATCTGTTTGGGGAATCAGTTACCACTTGAATTCCTCATTATCATTTCATTTGGTAATATAGTCAAAGAGAATGGCAGAACAAAACTCCAGGCTCTGGCTTTGCCACTGTCATTCATATTGTGTTCTAGGAGAGAAGTATTGCACATTGTAAGCACTGTCTAACTTCAAAAAAGAAGAACAAAAGTGGAAAACCAAATACAAAGACAAAAGTTTTGCCTTTATGTGTTGCTGTGTTGCAAGTGTAGTTTATGGTCAATAACAAGATCATGGTCCTGATTTGATCTTGAAACACATTTTGATTCCTGAGCTTTTAATGGTGTACACAGAATTGAGTCTGACACTGCTGTGCAGTCTAACAAATGCCCATTTGTAGAGATCTGAAGTATGTGTAGGGAAGTTTTAAAAGATCCTTTCTGTTCTTCATCTCTCTGCTCATCCACGAGGGGATTTTCTAAAACAAGAGTTAACGAATGGATCTGATCATGAGGGGTCTGTACTGGCAAGTACCTTCACCAGATAGATCATTTATGATATCTGTACTTAAAACTTTGATCCATTGCTGCTCAGGGGGAGTTTAGTATTCATCTCAAGTTCCTGGTGGTCACAACTTGCTGAATATCCTGTGCTGGGAATGCCAGAGCTTTCAAAGCTGTGGGAATCATGATGGGATGTACTGAGGAGCACGAAATAGAGCCCAGCTTGATAAGAATGAAAGTCACCTATAAAACATTTCACTGAAAGTTAGGAGGATAAGGGCTTGTAGTTGTTCCCTGCTGGAAATTTATGCCTAGAAAAAGCAGAAGAGAATCACTTGCTGTTCTGGGATGAAGACAGTCCAAGCAGTGAAATTCCTGTGGTATGACAATAGTTGGGTGTTTTCCTCTGTGTGCTTGGTGAATGTTGGATACTTTGTGGCTTCTGTTTCCTTTGCGCAGGTGTTAATCCCAGAGTGACATAGCCCTTTGTTACATGGATTTGTTGACACCTCAGTGTCTTTGGGATGACATTTCTGGCTTTCAGACTTCATTTTTGAAGAGCTGAGAACAAATTTGGTAATTTGGCAGGGGAAAAATGAGGCAATGGTGTCTGAAGTAGATCAAAGCCTTTATTATGTCGAGTGACAGGTCCTGCCTTGTCCATGCCTTCCGTCATGTTAATCTTTGTAGCCTCTTGTATAACTCAAAGTTTGTAAAGGACAGAACATGCTGAATTCCCAGTTTATAGGTGGAGTTACTAACATTGTGGATTATTAGTGTTGCCTGACGTCCTCAGAAGATTTCTTCTTTTCTGTTGGTTGAGCCCTTGCCCAAATTCAGAACTTATTTTTTTTTCCCATGCCCATTTCAGGTAAAGCTTTTGGAAATAATCAGCCAGTGCAGTTGGTATATTGTGGATAAGATTGTGGAAGAACTTGTTTTGCCTGTGTTTACAGAAACCCCAAATATTTGTGTTCTCTGGAAACGGGTATTTGACATCTGACAAGGTGGCAAGCTGCATGACAGGGTGTCATCCCCACAAATCAGTGAATTCCATCCCTAACAGATCAATTTGCAGGAAGTCTTCCATCCCTTAACACTGGGATTCTGAGGACTGGACCTGCTCAGTAGGACTTGATGTGTTTTTTGGATAGGAAGGAAGGAAGGACAGACAGGTTCTCTTCAAGCTGCTTTCCACAGAGATGGATCATCCCAGGGCAGCACAGTGAAGGAAAAGGCTGAGTTTGCAAGGAGTGGGGTAAAATGAGATACCAGAGAAGTGTAGTTGTTGTTGGAAAGGAGAACTGGAAGTGTGAATGGTGGAATGCTTGGGAAGTTAGAAGTGGATAAATCTGATGTGGAGTCACTGTTTGCAAGGAAAATGGAGATGAGGATAAGAAACTTTGGAGAGATTTGGAATAAAATGCTGGTTAAATGGGAATCAGGAGTCTGGAGTGAATAATCAGTATGAGAATGGGGCGGGGACAGCAAACTCAGGAGCAGACTGTGCTTGTGGAGCCTGACTGAAGCACCTGTCAGAGATCAGAGGGAAACCCAGACTTCCTGGCCTCATCCTCTGGTGCTGTCAGCATTTGCAGCAGCATCTCCTCATGTTCACCAGTGTGGGAGAGCTTGCAGCACTGTGAGACTGCCTGCAGGATCAGTGCAGGACTCTGGAAGTTCTATCCCTTCTGATGGTCCATAGAAAGGGTCAGTGTGATGTTATAGAGAGGTGTGACTTCTCTTGGGGTTCTCTGTAAGACAATAGGAAGTTGTAAAATGCTGATTTTTGGTGATTAAAGACAATTCAGGTTGAACAGGAAACTTTAATTTTGATGGTTTCCTGTTTCTTTTAACACTTTGGGTGTAACCCTGATGTACTAAAGCAGTTACTTTTCTGTTATCTGAGCTATAAAATGGGGTTTATAAAAGGTACAGTTTAAAGTTAATACCTGAATTTTCAAAATACATGTTTGTACTCAGCTGTCAATCCTGATCATGTACCATGGATTCCTGAGGTTGCTTTCTTAGGTAAAATGTTCAATGCTTAAAATTCTTCTGGCAAAATAAAGTTCTCTGATTCTTACTGAGTTTAAATTTGTCTAAAGATATGAAGTGGACATTGCTATCTGTTATTTACTACAGATACCAGACTACAGGAATGCTGTAATTGTGGCCAAATCTCCTGCATCTGCAAAGAGGTGGGTAAGATCTGCTCTCTTGCCTTAGAGCAGGAAATCTCTGTCGGGATTTTGTTCTTAGGATCAAGTGAAGGACAAATTCCCAATAATTAGAAGATGCAGCCTTCACACCCCTCCCAATTCTCATCTGTTAGCTGTGTAATATTTACATCATTGCTGTAATCACAATAAATCTAAGGAGAGTAAAAAAAAAACAAACATACAAAAGGATGCAGTAAATCAGTGCAGTGCTTATGATTAAGAAGGTTTTTAATCATGTTATATTTGTGTGCATTTACATTATAAATCTCCTTCTGTAAATGAGGAAAAGTGGCTGGAAATGTAATGCCATTAATCCAGATGAGTTCCTTAACATGGGCAGAATGAAGAACATGGCTGATCAGATCCTAAACACAGATGGTGAAACTGGGTTTGCTGTTTGAGATGATTGTGATTGTGAAGTCTTTGGTGGTTGAATGGCTGTTCTTAATCCATGAAGTTTTTTAGTCAACTGTTCCTAAACTCTGGAATTACAGTGCTGTCAGCACTGGATCATGGTTTAAGAGATGCTGTATTTGCTGTGGTGACAAACCAAGAATTTGTTGAGAAGATATTTAGACTTCCATTGTCTAAATTGTGGTACCAACAAATTGTGGTACTCTGTGTTTTCCTCATTTCCTGTAACATCATCTTTTTCTCCAGCAGTACTTTTTGTGATTTCTTTTGTTTTGGCCAGGTAATTTTACATTTGTTTCCTTTCCATTTCTTTTCCACGGTGTCTGTATTGCCTCTTGGGTGGAGGCAAGTGTTTTTTGCAGCATTTTAATGCTTATCCAAAAATTGTCAATGCCAGCAAATAGACAGATGTGTTGCACATCATGCAGTGATTGTGGAGGAGATGATCCCAGAACTGTATTGTTTAGCTTGTTCATATGAGTATTTAAGGACAATATTTGAAGAGTTACATTGTATTGGGAGAGGGATAATTGGATGTTTCAGCCTAATCCAGGCTTAAAAACAATCTAGGAAAATACTTTTGATGAATGCCTGCTTGTGAAAAAGAACCCTTGCGTGGTGATGTTCAGAATGCCTTCTGTGGTTTCTGAGCTCACTGGAAAATTAATATATAATTTGGCTGTTACTTTGAACTTTATTCAGTTTAATACTGCATTTTAAGGTAATTAATATGGTTTTATTGATAGGATTATTCCTGCTAAGTCATAACGCTTATTGTTTGTAATAATAATTACCTGCAATTAACTACTTGCATAAATATTATAACAGTATGATAACCACAGGGTGGAAGATTCTTAATTTTTAATTAACTGAGTATCACGATGGGCAAATTATTCTCTGGACTTTGGATTGTTTGGATAGTGAAATAAGGCTTAAGGACAGAGGGGTGATTCAGGCACAGGTCTGAGGTGCTGATGTTAGAGCAGAGTGAATCACTCTGGATGTGCTGGGCTTGCACCACAGGAGGCTTGGATGGGTGGCTTAGGCAGGATCCCAAACCCATGGGTGTGCAAGGTTAGGTGGGATGGATGTGCTAATTTGTATTTGCTGCTTCCAATATCTGGGATGCGAATTCCTATTTTCCTGACTCTGCTTTTCCCACTCCCCCAACTAACCTTACACTTCTTTACAGAAATTTCTAATTTGAGTTGAAGAAATACTGCAGTGTGAAAGAACTTCATGTCAGCTAATTAAAAAATCCAAGCTGTTTAACTCCCAAGTGTGGTTTGTCAGGCAGAATGATCATCTGGATTCCCTTTTCCATAGAGTATCTCAGGCTGTGTCAGCAAATCAGGGATATTGTCTTTATTTCATACTAAATAAATAGATGAACTCTTGTTTTCTCTTTTTATATGAGTATTTTTTTCCCTGATTAAATTAAATGTAGACAATGCTGACATCAAGGCTGTTCTTGGTTACTGTTAGATGTGTCCTGCTAAAGCATGGGATCCCAGAAATGCTGAAGGCTGGGAAGTGTTATTTTGGCTCTTGGGCAAAGCAGAAGGGAGTAGTCAGCATTTTGTGACTTGCAGCATTTATCCTGTTGCTTTAAGCCCATATGGGCACTTTGAAGGTTATTCTGACTTTAACAAACCTGATTAAAACGAGATACTGAGGGACCAATTTCTTCTATGAATCCTCCTAAAATTTTAGGATCATTTGATACTTCCCTCTGAAACATTAGAAATAAAACGAAAATAGCTTAGGATTGTACATAGGTGAATTATTTAAAATTCAACCTTTTTTTGTGGATTCTTTTAACCCTTTCCCTGCAGGGCACAATCGTTTGCTGAGCGCCTGCGGTTGGGAATCGCCGTGATCCACGGGGAAGCTCAGGATGCTGAGTCTGACATGGTGGATGGTCGGCACTCCCCTCCTACAGCCAAATATGTAGCTGCTATCCACCCCAGCCTGGAGATCCCCAGTAAGTAAGTGTGTGTGGGAAAGTGTTACCTGGTGGTTTTGTGGGTTTAGGGATTGGGTTTGGCAGGGATGGACTGTATAAAAGGACAGAGGAAAAAAAAAAAAAAAAAAACTTTCTTCATGGGTAGAAAATGTTTCCTTCTTGCTTGATTGGGGATGTGACCTACACCAAAAGTACAGGGCATAAACCCAGTGTGGGTGTCAGTGGGTGACTGAACTGGTTGTGTCTGCAGGCCACTCTGTTTCTTTGCTGAAATAAAGAATTCAAGTATAAATGAATATAGTTGATATTTTAATTACGCTTCAAAAATTATTTCTGTATTAGAATCCTACTGGTTTTCTCAGTAATGCTGTTGAAATTGTTTCTGCTTCATGTCTCTTATACTGGTGACCCATCAGACAGTTCTACACGTCAAATAAATTATATAAACTTCCTCTTTTCTTTCTCCTTTCTACCCCTCTAAAAACATTTGCCATTAATCAGTGCTGATTCCTAAGGAAAAGCCACCCATCACAGTTGTTGGAGATGTAGGAGGAAGAATAGCTATCATTGTGGTAAGTGGGATTCCATTAGTTCTCAATAAATCATATTAAACATGTTAATGGTGCAGAAATCAAGTAGCTGTTGTGTATCAGCCACTCAACTTTGGTTGCTGATAGGATGGGGCAGCATTGAGATCACAAAGCTGGCTGGGAGCTCTGCAGAGATCCACTCTGAAAGCAGCACTGGGACCTTGTTTCCATGAGCAGAGCAGGTGAAATTCTGCTCAGTGCTTACCTGAAGGGGTTCAGGTGCTGCATGCACACCACAGGAGGGGAGAATCACCCTGTTCCTACTGGTGAGTTTAGAAATGCCAGTGAAGCTGAGTTGATGGACGTGGACTTGTTAGAACAAGTCTGGATGAGGCCAGCAAGATGACATTCAAGAGGAATGGAGAAGCTCTGCTATGAGGAGAGGCTGAGAGAACTGGGATTGTTCAGCCTGGAAAAGAGAAGGATCTGGGGTGACCTAGTTGGGGCTTTCCAGTACCTGAGGAGAACCTGCAAGAAATACAGAGAGAGATTATTTGTGAAGGCCTGCAGTGACAGGACAAGGGGGAATGGCTTCACACTTACAGGAGAGTAGGGTTAGATTGGATATAAGGAAGAAATTTTTGGGATGAGATGATCTTTAAGGTCCCTTCCAGCCCAGGCCATTCTATTATTCCTTGATTTCTCTAAAGAAGGGTGTAATCTCTGGGTTTGTCAAGGAAAATAACAATTTTCTGATAGTTTGGGGTTTTTTACACTTGGTAAGGCTGTGCTGTCAGTCAGATGTGCTGTGTTGGTCTGTGTGATGTGGTGAACCCTGGGTGACTCTGGGATTTTGGCAGGATGACATCATAGATGACGTTGACAGCTTTCTGGCTGCAGCTGAGACCCTCAAGGAGAGAGGGGCCTACAAGATCTTTGTCATGGCCACCCATGGGCTGCTGTCCTCAGATGCTCCCCGGCTCATCGAGGAGTCTGCCATCGATGAAGTGAGTGTGGAGTCTGAGCTCTGATCAAGTGATTTGGAGCTTTCCTAAGCAGTTTCCTCCTGATTTGATTACTGACATATGCTGGCATTAAGGATTTAGATGGGAGGTTCCTGGTTCAGGCTTTGTAACTATGGAATCGTGTGCTGGGATATTAGCATCCACGTCTTTATAGCAGTGGGAAATGTGGGAAGTGGTGAGATGCTGGAGTGTCAGTATCAGCACACCTTTCCCTTCAGTGGGTGGGATATTTTTGTACCTCCTCTGGGTCTGTGTGGCAAAATGAATGAATCAAAAAAAGGAGGGACAATGCCATTAGTATCCATGGATACATGAAACCTGTGGCAACACATGGCTCTTCCTAAGATTGTGACCTTGACAATAATATAAAATGTTATTTTGTCAGCCAGGGTGGTTTTGTGGGATCTGTAAAACTCCTTTTCACACTTTAGTATAAAAGGTGGAAAACATAACAGAGCTATGTCTTCCTGACTGTTCCTTCTTCCTGTAGGTGGTTGTCACAAACACAATTCCACATGAAATACAGAAACTTCAGTGCCCTAAAATCAAGACTGTGGATATCAGCATGATCCTGTCAGAAGCCATTCGCAGGATCCATAATGGGGAGTCCATGTCCTACCTTTTCAGGAATATAGGAGTGGATGATTAAAGCTTCTTCCTCTAAACAAACACCCCGGGCCAAACTGGAAGTGAACAGAGAACGAGCTGTGAAGCATCGTGCTTACCTTAATATTTCCATTGAGCCACTTCTTGTTTTCTCATGATTTAAGTATCAAGGTAGAACAGTTTTTAAGACCTCTTTTTTTTTTTTTTCTTCTCCCCTTTGCAGGTTTTTTTTGGGGGGGGTTGGTGGGAATAAACATTTTACAAAAAACTGTTCTAGTTGCTTTTAGGTTAGTTGCACCATACACAATGGAAAAATCCCACAAAACACTTGAGGCAAGAATTTGGCTTCTAAATTAAGCATTCCTTTTCCAAAGCTGCTTGCTACAAGTGCTTTAAATGATAACAAAATGAAGTGACTGTATGATATTTGCATCTTAAAAGCCAAAAAAGGTTGTACTGTTGTATGCAGTTCAGTGATTTTGTAGGAGTGCTTTTATAGAAAAGCGTATGGAATATGCACCTGTATTTATTTTCTGCGACAAAGAATAAAGACTTGTTTTGTGTGAGCTTTCTAAAAATGTTCGTGTGCTGGTCCTTTGTCTTCTAAACTATGTCCTTAAATATGGCTGGTGGATGTCAGGGAGCAACAGGGACTTGTTCAGACAATGGCACAGATCCCAGAGAAGCTGTGGCTGCCCCTGCATCCCTGGAAGTGTCCAAAGCCAGGTTGGATGGGGCTTGGAGCAACCTGGGGTACTGGAAGGTGTCCCTGGCCATGGCAAGGTTTTGAAATGAGATGATCCTTCCCAACCCAAACCATTCTGTGATTCTTTGACTTGGGAATATTGTGGGGAGTGTAGGTTCCAGCTGGTCAAATCCAAATCGGCTCATCACAAGTAAACTGAGGGGTTTTTTTTGAGGTTTCTTGCCTGCCCTGAATGCGTGGATGAGCTAAAAAATCCACCACAGTGCAGAGCTGAACTTGTCCAGGTTTGTTTTCCCAACCCTCCTTGGGCAGGTGTGGGTGGAATGGCCGGCTGGCTGCCAGGCAGCTCCCAGTCCTGGAGACTCCAAGTTCCTCATCTATTGCAGAGAAAACAGTGGTGGAATTGATGAGCATTTAGAGGCTGTTTGGTTTAATCTTTCCATCATGTCCTACAAATGAGTATAAAGCTTTTGGCGTGTTCAGAAGTGAAAATTAACCTTTGTTGACACCATGTTGGAGACAAACTTTCAAGGACTTTGGAGGGTTCATTGACTTTAAAGGATAAAACCAGGTGCTTTCCTTAATGTTAATGGATACAGCAGGCTGGCTTATTGACACGTGTGGGTACTTTGGATGTGTTAATGCAGGTCAAATTCCAGCTGAGCACTGAGGGGGAAGGTCGGTTCCTCTCACGGATGTCAGAGCTGCTCCCGGTGCTGCCGCGGCTCCTTCAAAGCCAGGAGGAATGCTGCCCTGACTCAGTGATGGGCATAGGAACTGCACCATGTTGATTTTATTAGTGAGACCTTGTGCAAGTGTGCTACCACTTGGGAATGAGCCAGACAAGCGTCCAGCACAGCAAGCTGATGGCTAAATACCCCAAAACAAGGAATTCTAAGGTGGTTTTCTGTGCCTATCTCGTGTTGGCCTCTAGGGAAATTGCTGTGTCTTCCTCTCTCCACATCCAGGATGATGCAGCCAGGTGGGGTTTGGTCTTTTCTCTCAGGTAACAAATGACAGAGAAAAAGGAAAAAATCTCAACTTGCACCAGGAGAGGTTAGGTTGGATATTAGGAAAAATGTCGTGGAAAAGGTCAAGCATTGGCACAGGCTGCCCAGAGCAGTGGTGGAATGACCAGGGATTTAAAAGCAGTGTAGATGTGATTTAGTGGGGGTGCTGGCTTAATGGTTGGGCTCAATGATCTTAAATGACTTTTCCAGGTCAAATAATTCCATGGTTCTGTCATCTTTTCTGTGGGGGTCTGTCCTGGTCAGCCCTTGCTGCCATGCCAGACTCCACCTCAGGCATTCACACAACTCCTGTTTGATCTTTGCTTTAAAACACAGAAAACCCCCATCTTTGCCTGGTTTCATGCAGTGCAATTAAGCAATTGATGAGAGCTCAGGAATTTGGGAACAAACTGCATCCATAAGGCTGGACTGCTGTTTCTGGGGCTATTGATAGTATTGGAGTTGTGGAAAGGGAGGGAAGCACTTGAGGCACCACTCAGACATTTTTCAACCCTGCCCATTTCCAAGACACCAAAATCAAGCAGTTTTGGTTCCTTGGGGAGTGAGAGAGGTGGGAAGCAGTGGAGGCCAGGCTGCCCACCCAGGCACCTTTGGAAGCACAATTCCTGCTGCTGGGCTGTTTAATGATAAATGTCCTCGGGCTGCTAACGAGTTACTGATTCTGTGACTGACCCAGTGAGGCTGAGGATGAAGAAGAAGGCAGAGAAATGAAGGAGCTCAACGCCACTGCTGGATTTGTTACCCCCTCACAGCAGTTCAGCATTGCTGACCTTGTTGTTGCAGTGGTTTATTTTTCCCTTAATGTTGGCGTGGGAATATGGGTAAGAGTCTTTTGTTCCTTTCTTTCTTGTTTGAATAGGTTTTCTTTTCAGGGCTGGCTTTTCTGCGTGGAATATTTGAAAGCTTCTATTATTTTCTTGTCGTTCTCACTTGTGCGTTTTGTGTGTTGTGCTGTGTGGAGCCAGGCTGGGAGAGCTGGGGGTGTTCACCTGGATAAAAGAGACGTCTGGGGGTACCTTAAAGCCCCTTCCAGTGCCTAAAGGGGCTCCAGGAGAGCTGGAGAGGAACTTTGGACAAGAGCCTGGAGTTACAGGCAAGGGGAAATGGCTTCCCACTGCCAGAGGGCAGGGTTAGATGGGATATTGGGAAGAAACTCTTCCCTGTGAGGGTGGGGAGGCCCTGGCACAGGTTGCCCAAAGAAGCTGTGGCTGCCCCTGGATCCCTGGAAATGTCCAAGGCCGGGTTGGATGGGGCTTGGAAAAACTTGGGATAGTGGAAGGGGTTTGCAACAAGATGAGCTTTAAGATCTCTTCCAATCCAAACCATTCTGGGATTCTTGCTCTGTTTTGTATCAATCCTCTGCCCCTTTCACCCCCTATGGAAAGGCTCCTATAGCCTGGGAGCCAGGTGGAATTAACCACAGAATTAACCAATTAACCATCTTTCCTCCAGCCTGTCTGCTGGGTGTGAGCAGCTCTGCCCTTTGTCTATTACAGGGTGCTGAGCCAAATGCCCTGATAGCAGCCCTGATAACAGAAACAACCCTCAGCCACAGCAGTTTCAGATAAAGACTCTCCAATTGCATTTATTCTGCCTTGCAGAAAAATCCTGGCCAAAGCTGTGTCCTATTAGCCAACCTGTCTGCTGGGGATGGCACTAGGACAGGAACATCCTCCCTGCTTCCCCCTCTCCAGGTGCTTCCTTTGCCATTCATGGCTCCAGGTACCTGGGGTGAAGCCACTATTTCATGTAATTAAGCTCGAGTTGCAGAGCTCCCATTAATTATCGAGTCTCCTGTCTCTTGGCTTCTTGTCTGGGAGACTTGGGTCCTAGTGACTTGTCTGGGTTTTTAGTGAAAGAGTGCTCTGTGCTGATTTTTCCTCCTCCCAGTCTTCCTGCAGGGTGAACAGGAACATCATCAGTGGCTATTTCCTGGGAGAGACATGGCCTGGTGGCCAGTAAGTACAGACAGACCTCTGTCCCTCTTGTGACACCCTGGGCACAGGGGACACCAGCACCACTGCCACAATGAATTCCCCCTTCTTTCCCCCACCCTGTCCACCTCCTCCTGCCAGAATTTATATCCTTAGAGCTGCATTTCCCTTCTCATTGCACAGATGATGGAGTTTGTCTTTCCACAGGCTACTCTGAGCCTGGGGTGGGATCCATGGAGCCAAACATCCACCTCCACCATTCCTGCATGCTCCTGCTGACTCCAACAAACTGTGGCTGTCCCAGGTTCCTTTTTTCCCCCCTCTTATTTCTGTCTGATCTTGACAAACTGGCTGTCGGTCCTTCCCCTGTCAGGCACTGGCTCCTTGCACAGGGCCACCTCCAGCAGGGTTTGTGGCCACTGTGGCAAACAGAGCAACATGTGGCTCCTCATCCTCCTGAGACAAATCAATCCCAAACCCAGCAGGGATGTCCAGGTGAGATGAGTTGTGGGAGCATCACATTCAGCTACCTGAATTTTATCTGTGAAGAGATTTTTCTTGCTGAATACTCACACATGGGGGCTCTTTGGCCACACTTTTAGATGCCACGGGGACATCTCATTTTTTCCTGAGTTATCCCCTGTGGGAGGGAAGCACCAGAGCTGGTCCAGCTGGCACGGCAGCCGTGCCAAGCCGCGGGGAGCCGGCGTTGGGACACCCGTGGGCACCTGCAGCTCCTCCTCTGTGCCTCGTTCTTGGCCAGCAGCGAAGGCTCCGGGCTCTTCCTCGGCGCTGTCGCCGGCTTCGAGTGGAATGTAAGATCTGTGTCGTGTGATTAACACAATGAGTTCTGTCGCAGCAGATGGGCCATTTCACAGTCTAGAAAGGTTTGGGAGGAGCCGCGCAGGGGGGTAATTAACACAGCCCTGCTAACTCAGCTTCTCCTGTGTCCTACGGTGAGGCTGGAGTCAGCTCCACGTGCTCAGCGAAAAGGACATTTTGGAGCCGAGTTCCTAATCCAGCCCCTGCAGGTCCTGACAGGAATTAATAGGTCACCCATTCCCTGCTTCCCCACAACCCTTGGGTCCTGCAGAAAAATAAAAAAGCATAAAGGCATTTGTCTTTTGTGATGCTCAAGGAGTTGGTGAGAGATGTCCAGTCAGGAGCTGAAGGGCTGAGAGAAGCAGGTTCGGGCTGGCAGGGGTGCCAGGGGGTGTCTACCGTGTCCCCATACCCAAAAGGGTATCAAGGGTATCTGAAGCCATTTGTGGGTGTAAATGTTCCCTTGAAGGTGAACCAGGGCTGGATCAGGAGCAGAGACAGGGTCTGGGACTGCAGTCAGCATTGAGCTGCAGCAATATCCATGTTCTTTTCTGTCTTTTCTCCTTCCTGACAGGCAACTTATGCTCTTCTGGCACTGGCCTGGGTGTTTGTGCCTGTCTACACCTCATCTGGGGTAGGTACAGCTGCCCTGAGCCTGCTGTGGGGAGTGTGGCCTTGGGCAGGTCCCACACTCCCAGGAATCCTGTGGGACTCCTGAGTTCTGCTCTGGGAATAATGGTGTCCCCTTGCCCTGCCAGGACCATCCCATGAGGATGGGCCCTGCACAGGGCACTGATGGCTCTCCCTCCCTGGCAGATTGTCACAATTCCTGAGTATCTCCAGCGGAGGTTTGGAGGGGAGAGGATGCAGATGTACCTCTCCAGCCTGTCACTCCTGCTCTCCATCTTCACCAAAATCTCAGTGAGTAGCCCTGCCTTCAACTCTGTGACCAATCCAGGACTTATTTCCAGCTATCAGAAGGTTATTTTTGGGTTCAGACCTTATATATCCATACTGGGGAAGAGCATGCAGGATGCTCCAGAAAGAAATGGGACAAAAAGTGGGAATTTGTGGGCAGATGCTGT